AGGCAAGCGTCTTCCCACTCGTCCAATCAGGCTTGCTTGCACATAATGCTTACACAATGCTTGCGAAGCGTCCGTATAGCGTCCAAGACCCTCACACAATGCTTACCGTGCGTCTCTCTGAAAAGCGAGCCTAGTTCTTAAGAAGGGCAGGGTGGTGAACAGCACCGAAAGGTTTTCAAGATCCCTATTTCACTAAAAAAAATATAAATGTGGAACACTCCGATTAATCAGCGGGTTTGGTGCGTGGTTATGGAGCCGTTTATTTCGTTCTGCCAGCAGCCTCACTCTTAACCGATGAGTCTGGTTATGTGGTGGCATTATCGTTTAATTCACTTTGCCAGCAACCTTGCTCTTAATCGGCGAGTGTGGGTGTGCGTGGTCACATAAACGTTTAGTGTACTTTGCCTGCAGTCTTGCTCGAAATGGGCGAGTCTGATTATGCGGCCAGGGTGCCGTTTAGTTCACTTTGTCATGTAGCATAGCTGTTCAAAGGCGATGCAAATTCCACAATGTAGTCATTGAGTAAAGCTTGTCTGAGGAAAAGTGAAGCGTTTTAACTGCATAAAGGTATGGTTTAGAAGTAAATCATAATTGTAATGGTTGCAGAGTTCGAACCACCCGTTCCAGGCTCCCAGCGGCTATGACGTAAGCAGCGCCACCACAGGCCGCTGTAAGAACTACACATTCTGGACATCGCTGAAAGGGGACTCGGGTGGAAATAGCAATGGGAAAACCTGTTTGATATTCCCGGAACCAACTGGCTCATTGAGTCAATTCACCTGATCCCATAGAAGCCAGTGATCTTCGATCAGGTACCCGGCACTGGAAGCCTCACTTGCGCTGTTGCTGCTGTTAAAACACTTCTCGGCGTGTGGTCGACGTGGTATTGTCATTAATTGACTCCGATGTGATCGATTTACACGTTCTCATGGAATCCAGCGACACCAGGCCAAGCGCACGGCAAGTCATCCTTTGTGTTGCTTTGCTGTTAAAACAGAACAAAAACGCATCAATGGCATAAAACTAGCCAAAGACGACTGGCGATGGTAAGTCTGCTCCACAGGATACAGTGGTTCCAGTTTCCACAGGATGCAGTGGTTCTAGTTTCCACAGGATGCAGTGGTTCCAGTTTCCACAGAATCCAGCGGTTCCATTTTCCACATAATGCCAGGGTTCCAGTTTCCACAGAGGTACCGGGTCAGATGGCTGAAGCTGTGGGATTTTCACACATCTGCCGTGAATACAAACATTTATGGATGCTTGATCCACATGATTTCACTCTGAGTCGACTCGCCGCACTCCCAGGCGCGTCGGTTTACTTGTTCAGTCTACAACATCCCAATACTCGATGGATGGCTGGGACAGGACCGTTAATGACTATGTCAATGCAAGCGGTGCGTTCGTGTGAAAGAGATCGTTAGTTTTCCGGAGGACCATCGACCTGATTCGAAAACCGACGTTGAAAAGGAAAAGTCTCTACAAGCCAAAGAGTTGCAAGGTAAAGGTAAGAGAGGCATTGGATGGGCGGCGTCGTACACTCCGAAGTCGTCGTCGTCATCGTAAAGGCTGACGCGACTCGCGTCGAGCCGCGCCGTCGGAGCCTGAACGTGGACTGATTGGCAAGGACCGTGCGTCTCCGCCCGCGTGCCCCATAAACCCACGTGGCCCACGTATGGGCCCCAGACGGTGAGGACCAATCGGCAGAGGGGCCGCTCACACCGTCGCAGAGACGCCGCTGCCGCACCGGCAGCGACGGCCCGTTTGCCGGCTAACACGGTGCGTTTTGAACGGCATCAGCAGTAATCAGACACCACAAAGGACCAAGTGCTTAGCATCATGTCTAAAAATATGTTTTCGATGGCATCAACAGCATTACTGAATGCTGTACCTCCACAGAAGATTGGGCGAATGACACGTAAGATAGATAAAGTATTCCTCTTTCATGTTACCCTGAGGATGTGACATCATCAACGCGAATATTCTTAAAAGCGATGAGTTTAGGCTGCGGTTCATGTATCGTATCATCTTAATTAACAGCAAAAAGGATGGCGTAAAATCGCTGATCAATTTCGTATGTACGAAGACATACGAAAGTGACAGCCTTTCTGGCTTCAATACGACTACGTGTCGAGCTGTTATTTCATTACTGCAAATATCCGCATTACTATCAGGTCGCCTTAGTGCGAAATCAAATGTATTGTTTCTCGAAGAAAAAGTACCGAAAACTTTTAAATAAGTACATGATAAACATCTCCTGCGATGTGGAGGGCGTTATGAATTTTTATGTGCCGATATTTAATACCCAACTTTTCTGCGACATAGGGATCCTGCAGAAATTAACATATTGGCTTCAAAGGCTTGTTTTTGTTCTCTTGCAGGACAAGCAAGTATGCAATTACGGCATCGCAAGCACAACATTTGTTATGCGTACGTGGATGCTTTAAACTTGCCAGTGGTTTTAAAGAGAACGCACCACATTTGATTAATTAGCGCAAGGACCAGATATGATGGAATAGGCTCATTTGTAAATATTGGTACACTTGTAACTGCGAAAGGCGGCTCTAGAACACATTCACTATTTAGTAAACATGTTCCTCAATACGTCATTGCTTGAGTGCGTCATAGAAGGCTTGTATGACGTCTAAGGGATTGCGAAACTGGCCTACGAAATTGCCAGCCTACCGGACGGACTGACTCACTTGTTTTACTTTAACTTCTCGAGAAGCGTCGTGCTAACGGTTGTGGCGTTTCCGTAACCCACATAACGTTCGCGCGTGTTTTGGCCGTTCCTCCTGCGTGTCCTTGCATATTAAGCCGTGATCTTATAATGTTGACTTGCGTTCACATGCTCGCTTATGGTGCTGTTCTTAAGTTCTCAGGTCGCAAGTTTTATTTCCGTAATAACAGTTCCAATGTTCAACTGCCTGTATTATGTAGCACAAACTTGAATTGTGTTGGAAATTCTCACTGACTGCATGGCATTGGTCGAGAGTCAATTGAAGTCCGTTGGTTCCAGAAATCGTCCTATTGCACGCCGGACACGAATAACTCTGCAATTATGTTGTCTTGGTCTTAACGTCGCGTGGCCAATGAGGGGCAGGATTTCAGTGACATTTGTATTGCGTCATGCATACCTGGGTGACCACGAAATAGTCTGCACGAAACAGTCTTCACGACTTCGCGGGCGTCTAACTCTAACTCGGAGACAAGGGTTTCAAGTCTTAAGGACAGGGCTGTGAACTGCACCGAATGATCTTCAAAACAGCTATCACAGCTCAGAACCTCATGCAAACGTGAAACGCTTCCTTTAAATGGAATGTTCCACACTTGCAGATAGTGAAGCAAACATCAAATGTGATGCAATAAGCTCACTTACAATTTTTGGTATATTTTTAAGTGGGAAAACCTGCTCTAGACGACAATATTTATATTTTTAGTAACTATGCTTCTCAGTACGTAATTGCTCTATTACGTTATGGAACGTTTGTATGACAGCACTCACTTGTAGGTCTTTAATCTCCCGAGAGGTGGCTCGGGAGGGTACTGGATGTGTGGTGAACCAAATATTGCTAGGGTGCTCTTGTTTTGGCCCTTTCTCGTGGCGGTCTTTCCTATTTATCCGTGAGTTTAAGGTGCTTGCTTGTGCTCACATACTTCGTCAGAGGCGCTAATCTTATGTTATTCGATTGCGTCTCATGCTTCCGTAACCACTGGGAAGAATGTGTAGCTTTTTGCATTATATAGCACAAAACGTTGTTCGTGGTAGAATCTTGCATAGCCTGCGCAACATTCATTGAAAGCCAATTGTCAGCCGTTTGATCTGGAAATTGTGCTCACGAAAGCCAGATATGAAAAACTCGAAACTTATATTTTGATTAACCTTGCGCACCTCATGGCCAATAGAAAATAAGGATTTAAGTGGCATTATAATGGCGTGATGGGTGCCTGGATGACTTTGGGATAGCACCCACGGAATAGTCTGCGGATCTTCGGGGGCGTCTAACTCAGGAACTAGGGGATTTAGTATTTAGGAGGGCAGGGGTGTGAACTGCACCGAATGATCTTCACAATGGCTATCTCGGCTCAAAAGCTCATACGAATGTGGAATACTCTTTGAACGTGTCGAACGTGCCCGCATCTCGAGCGTAACGCAACGTGCACGGCATCTTGGGCTCTGCGTATATTTCAAGCAGTAGCCCAACCTGCCATCTGTCTGAAGTAAATGACCAGATATGCAACCAGGGCCCACATGGACAGATGTATGGTGGCTACCAGTAAAATCGACGGACCGCGTGACGTTCCCACCTTTTGCGTGCTCGCATTTACTGCTGGCACAATTGCAAAATTTGCTGGAAGCGCCGGCTGGTACGGGGAAATGCGGATGCAAGTAAGAGCACCTGAGTTTTACCACGGATATGTAGAAGAAAGGCGTGCACAGAGCTGACCTTTGCACGAGGCAGACCATTGCAAATATATTAGGTGTATGGGTCGTTCGTTGTCATATGGCTGTTTGACATGCTCTTGTAATGATGTGTGATCTCGAAAAGTTCTGGACACGCCGCTGGTCGCGTAGACACTGATCTCGCAAGCACGACGCCTGAACTACAAGATGATTTGGACAATTAGTGCCTAAAGAAAGGTCAGCATTGAAATAACATCGAGCGATACAACGCTTCACGCGGTCTCATGGGCGTGGTAACAATTTGGAAAATGGGAGGAGCAATCGATTTTGAAACCAGTCATTTCCATGCATCAACGTAGCATTAATGGTACCATTGCCAATAAGTTGTGTCCATGGTCTCTCTAGCCCTCGTGTTTCTACGCCCATGGCACTTATCCATGGGAATGGTTTTGGGTTCCTCTCCTTGTCAAGAAGGCCGATAGCATTCGTATACGGTTTCGAAGACACGGTGGCTGCAGCATGCCTCTTGGGAGTTGTGCGGCACTCATCATATTGATGTGACCACCGGGAGAACGGATTCGCCCCTATGTCAGCAAAGCAACACTACAGAGATCAGTATCGTTGACAACCATTCAAACATGCTTGGCATTGCCAAAAAGTTGTCTGTGATAATTTTAGAGTCAAATCATGCTCTTATTGGTTCACTTGGCCTGTGGCCGAGTAGTTATAACTTGAACTATGAAAACATTTCCAGTTTGAACGACCAGCCTGGCTCGGCCCACGCGCCAGGTTTTCCACCAGCTTCACCGTTACAGTCACTGATACATTACAGCCGCAGATACACATATTAAGGTTGCTGACGTATTAAACATCACTGTTATGTCTGCACACTAATACAATACAGTCGCTGATACATTAAAAGCATGCAGTTTCCAGCAAAGAAGAGTGCAATTCAACGACAGGCGTAATGAGTGAACAGCGTATTATGAAGCTTTGGGAAGTTTTTTCGACCTTGTGGACGGAGTTCTGGCGCGTCAGCCGATACAGATGTGCGCACGCGTGCCGCATTGCCAGCGGACTGCTGCGCTGACGGCTGATTGCCAGCTGCTGGTTATCGTCCGGCCGGGCAGGTCGGTGCTGCGTCCCCACGGAGGCTGCTGGACCATTGCGTGCAGTGTCGCGTCTGAAACCGACGCAATACGCAGTATCGCGCCTGAGACCGACGCAACGCGCCGCGTTGCGCCTGAGAACGACGCAACACGCCGCGTTGCGCCTGAGAACGACGCAACACGCAGTGTCGCGCTTGAGACCAATGCAACACGCAGTGTCGCGCCTGAGAACGACACAACACGCCGCGTTGCGCCTGAGAACGACGCAACACGCAGTGTCGCGCTTGAGACCAGTGCAACACGCAGTGTCGCGCCTGAGATCGACGCAACGCGCAATGTCGCGCCTGAGACCGACGCAACACGTCGCGTCGCGCCTGAGACCGATGCAACACGCCGCGTTGCGCCTGAGACCGACGCAACACGCGGTGTCACGCTTGAGACCGACGCAACACACCGCGTTGCGCCTGAGACCGACGCAACGCGCGGTGTCATACTTGAGACCGATGCAACACGCCGCCTCGCACCTGAGACCGACGCACCAAGCCGCGTTGCGCCCCAACCGTTGGCGATCTGCCTGCGCGACGTTCGATACGCATGCCGCGCGTCCGCTGATGACGCCGCGTTGACCGCGTCCAGCGCGTTCGACAGAGCACGATCGATCAGCTGTCAAAGGATCGGGTTCAGCAATTGTATGGTCACCTGTGGTGATCTTTTAAGGTTTAGACCTTTGACCTTTGAAGACCAGCCTGTCAGCTTCTCTTTCGCGGAATGTCTCTGCTTGGCTTGGCCAGCTTGCATGCGGTGTACCAACACTAAAGGCTAGAATCGTTGTGCAGTATTCAGTTAAATATGGTGTTTTTCTAAAAAATGCACGCCATACATGTTCTAGTTTTAAAGTGACATTGCGAAATTGTTTACTACCATACCAATTCATGTTTTTGGTGCCGCACTTCAGTTCAAATGTTTGTATGGTGCAATAACCAACTTTGCAAAAAATACACCAGTTGCCAACTTGAACATCAAGTTCTTGACAGCCTGAGCCACATATGAGCTGTTTTGGCGCTCGCCTACGGCTTAATTTGCATCCCCGCATAATACAGCGTCCGGGGGAAGCGGCCGAGATGCCTGTGAAGCGTGCATCATCACAGCAGTCATCAGTCCGGACCAGGCTGTACGCACAGGCTCTTCCGTCTCAACCTGTCCCGATCGCTCAATCGATTAGATCACCTGTCTTCCAAACCGCCGCCAATGACAGGGTGGGATCTAGTCGCTTAAGGCGTTTCCTATTTGCCTTCGGGGTTGGTTTGCGACCTGAGGTAGCGGCCATACGAAAGGTTGGGTGACGTCAGATGGCAGGACGGGCCGTGTCTACTAGCATTGTGGGACCCTAAACTTCGCCGCCAAATGTACCGTTGACCTGGAATTGCAATATCACATGGTAGGGGTCAGACCTCACACAATAAGCACTGCTTAGCGTGAGCACTCATCCCAGAAACCCATCCATTCAAATGAGTCGGACTAAACATGGAAAGACTAAAATTGAACAGCGCAACTGACAGCGCGAATGGTAACTCCGAACAAAGTGGCGGCTGGCCAGGAGCATATGTACGATTTTGTAGTTGGGGAAGGGGCACAACATCAAAGTTGTCAGTGAAAATCAGTTTTGGCGTGCCGCGGCACACATAATTTCCTGCATGTAGAACAACTAATTGCATGTGTTTACTCTACTCGCCATTGTCACTACGAAGCACTAGCAGCACAGACCATGCGGCGTCGCCTACCTCTTACTGTGGCAGCTGAGACGGACACTGCGTGAGATCGAAGTCAGACCACGTACATCCAGCTTACCAGCATTTTTATCGAGTGTCATCTCCGTCGCATTCATGTTTTCTACCATTGACAAACCGAGGAGATAGGTGAGCGGCCGCAAGGACCATCTTGCCGCGCCAAGGACCATCTTGTTTCACCGTCTGCCCTCGAGACGGTGAAACATGCCAGACTGCTCTCTCTTGAAGATTTTTCGAGTACATTCCTATGTGTGCACACGTCATGCGCGTGCAGTGCGCACACACATAGCCAACCTCTCCTCGTATGCCCCCCCCCCCCCCTGCACACCAACACGCGTGCCGCAAAGTAAAGCAAGGTAAAACTCCTACCATCTCTGGTTGGACCCTGCATCTAGGTGGGTGTCGTTCTCGAAAGTATTGTAAAGTAATGTGGATGCTACATTTGGCTATGTGGCTCCCATGTCTTCCGGTCCGTTGCATTGCTAGTGATGCACTCTCAATTTGTGCAGTTATTTTACTTGGCAAGTTCTATGAGGCGCGTAAATAAAAAGCCACCGGGAGAAAGCCACGCAGATTTGCCCTAAATTGTGCAGCCCGCCATCAACCACGTCACGCCATCTGATGAGCGGATCCTCCGCGGGGAAGATGCGTACATAAATGGCCGAAGCGTGGCGCCGCACGACGACACTGAACTGTCCCTATCAGGATAAATCCAGACAAGTCCAGATCTTCAGGAATGTTCGGGGCGGTTTACGATTACATCAGCTGATCTATGAGTCTAAGGTCGGCGTGCCTATGTGAAGCGACGACGATGGGTGGCACGGCGGACGCCTCGCAACGTTGTCGTGGATTGCACCGCAAAACACGGGAAACACGTTTGTACACATGAAAGGGATGGCTGCATGCCTTACCCATTACATTCGCTGTTTTGTGAGCCTTTGTGCAAAGCCATATTTATGCAGCACCACAAGGTGGCTGCAACAGGCCTCCGCATGATCAATGATAGCACATGGAGCTTGTAAAATTTTCGCGATTCCTCGCCGGAGAATGGGGTCTTGACTGTCACCCTGAGGTTGGTCTCGACTAGCTTTGGAGCAGACGATAGACAGCCGTTGATTGCACTTCGCCCTCATGCATCAGACGATAGCGCACAGTTTGCCATGTAGCACACATTTCAGGTGATCGCCCCCGTACTCCTTTCTGTACTTTGCCATGCTACATGAGGTGCAATTATGCGCAATATCATTAGGAGTATAGGCCAAACAAGGTCTTACTAGATGGCATGTCACTAATCGATAAACCTCCAGAACATAATATTTAGCCTTTCATGACCTTGGTTGACATGCCTCATATCTATGAAAATATTTTTGGCCCAGTATAACAAACATAATCCGGGTTGGTTTTGTTTTTTGAAACTCATAGCTTTTGGGCAAAGCAGGGCGTGAACGCTATTTCGTTGACATCGATTTCGGATGGTACCATCAAACTGTAGATGATTCACATGCATTGTATTCACACGTGTGACATGATTCCTTAAAAGCCTTAATCAACACAGAATGTAAGCAGCATGAAGAAATGTATGAATGTTTCCCTGACTGTTACTGTGCCAGTTCCAATATCAGCAAACGACCCTGGTCTTTAAGTGAGGAGCACCCTAAGCGAAGCTACGCTTAAGCTAGAGACTCACGTGGTCTCGAGCCGTGACTGATTCTGAGCACACGTAGGTTGTCAATTATAAGGTGCGTCCGTATTATCTCTCTACCCCGTGGAGATCATAGTGCATGCCTACATGTCTTCCGTAACTAGCCTCACTCGCTCTGGCTCCGCGAATTGATAGAACATATGCACATAGTCGGAGGAACGTATTCATATGACAGAAACACGCATATTTTACATTTTTCACGCACGTTCCAAATGTCACGCACATTTTGGGATTCCGTGCGTGGGCACCGGAGGGCTCGAACGGTCCTCCAGGCAGTTTTACATTCGTCTTATCATAGTGCACGGCAGGAAAGCAAACAACACGTGCCTTAAATCCCGCATCAGCAGCAACGAACCTGAGTGCGTCGGATTGGTCGCATCGTGACGCCGAGGCGTGTTCGACGGCAGTGCGACAGCCAGCAGTCCTGACAGCTACGGGAGTCAGCTAGCTTCCGTTTCCCATCCAGCCCCCCTCCTCCCTCTTCGGCGCGACGGCGGCACACGCCTCTAGTGTCACCCCTCCGTCTGGCGGGGTGGTTGCTCCCGTCTCCAAATCTGGTAGCGGCCAGTTTTGCGGGGCGCCGCAAAGGGCGCCACTTATCCGCGCACGCGCCGCTCACCGTAAACACGGCGCGGTCCGCCGCCGTCTGCCGAACAGCTGATGAGCAGTCGGCCCCGCGTCGCTGGACTGATCCGGATGTATCCGGCCGGTGCGGGTCACCGAGTACGTGCCATTCTTCTCCGGGTACCTGGTGTTAAGAACGCTGGGGTGCGTCTGATCCGAATTCGCAGTGCGAGACGATGCAAGTACCACAGTTATTATGACTGCTCCAGTACCTTCTCTCGCCAGCGGAAACGGGGTCAGCGTCTTTTGTATCCCACATTTTATAAATGACATGATTGGTAGAAACATGGAGGTCCGCTGCGAGCAGAGCTGCATTCGGTGTTCAACGAGTGAGTACACACCTCAGCGCTTCCACTGAAAAGGCGCGAGCACACCAAACCAGTCAGCGTCTTTGCTAAGTGCTTATGAGAGACAGCCCTGACATAATCCTGGAGCGTGCGTGGGTCCCTTTAGGCTTCTGGCTACACTTGCTTGTCCTTTTTCGCTATGGAAACTGCTCGTGCTGATCGTTGTTACCAGTGCTACGTCGTTAGTCTCACGCACCAAACAAGACGTGTGGTGTGTTATTGTTGGAACGCGTTTCAGTTTGTCAGCTTTGTGCTCGTTCCCAGCTCGCGTACAGGCTAATTGTGCACCAAAAACTGTCTATCTCATGAGATCTCATGAGAAGTATACATTAGGCGACGGACACAGACTATTGTGAATGACAGCTGATAAGTAACTGTCCGCTTCCGTAATTTCTGTGAACTTTGACACTAATCTGATGTCGACGCGTGGAAATATTGACTTTTAAAAGGCCAGTCTTTCTTTTTGTAACTTGCGTGTGTCTGGTTACGCTTGCTTGTTCTTTTTGTGCTAAGGAAACTGCTCGTGCAGTGGCTTGCAGACCACAAGCTGTGACACGAAAGGAGACGCTATGAGTTTTTTCACAGCATAGTAGCTAAGCGTTCATATTCACTAGGTTTGCACGGTAACTAACACATCACAGTTACAAACAACATTGAGCATCAAACACATTATAAACAACATCACAGTTAATTATCCCATCGTGTATTCTCTTTGCACATGTCGCACCATATAAAATAACTTAACACGCGCATGGGTGGCCGGCTAGATAACCTTCTCCCGGGTGGGGTCAATTTGACCCCCATGAGATCTCGGGAACCAAGAAAGCTAGAGATACTAAATTTGCAGGGTGTGTTGACCTGTACGTGAATTTACTTAGGTCAAATTTTTATGTTCTTAGGTCATGACCTTCGGGTCAAAAAAGGTCAAACAAGGTCGAGTTTCAGGTTGATCTTCAAAGTGCCCCCAGCACCTAGATAACCGTTTCTAAGCAAAAGGTTACATGCTCATTTAAGGTCAGTGACCTTGTATGATCTTTTGACGGTCAAGGTGACCAAAATAATACAAGATTGCTTTGAGTTTTGCATTTGACGAAGCGACAAAGATTGCACTAGGCAGTATGTTTCTAAAACAAAGTGTTGACCGGGGTCATTTTAGGTCGGTGACCTATTCCGACCTCTAAGAAGTCCATGGATGATGTATAATGCAGTTCCTGCTATCAATAAATTCTAAATGAGCACCAGAAACTATCTCATGCAGCAAGCCCTAGAGTAACAAAACAGGTTGGTTTTGACCTTGGTGTGACCTTCATACCTTACCTTAGGTCAATTAATATGCTCATTTAACTGTTGTGTTGCCTAAGAAAGCATCCCAGAGATGCATGGCCTCGTTTAACACTCCGTTGTTAGATCAGATTGAAGGATTCGATAGAAATTGCCCTCGCTGAAACCATGGCCTGACTTTGACCTGCCATAGGTCAGCGACCTTACAATATACATCTAAATTTGTGATGTCAAACGATCAGCTATTCAATTTTCTAGAGCTGTGCAAAATTTGGCGCGGCTGTGCCGCGCCGTTCGGAAACCGTTCTGGAAAAACCTTTGGGGGTCAATTTGACCCACCACCCGAGCGCGTGTTAACAGAGGCGTCGGAAAAAAGGCCGTTGGAATCGTGGTCCACCACCCATGCACATGGATGCTCAACATGCGCACTGTGGCCATGCACGAAAATGATTAATTTTGAAAAGGTGTTTGAAGCAGCCACCCTTTGAGGCCTTTCTTTTGGCACGGCGGATACTCCCTCGCATTCGAGAACAATGCGGTGAACCCTTCATTTTCTGAAGGGTTTACCGCCATCAATGTAGCTCATCTGATCCTGTGTTACTTCGATTAGGCGAAAGGCCACGGTCCGAGCTTGCTCTCCTGAGCTAACCAAAAACCATGCGGCTTCAGCGAACCGGCCCGACGCGACGTGACCCGGTCATCAGCTACACTTCCGACGTCCTAGAAATGTCCGTGGTGAGTACCGTAGATGCATGACAATTTTACTGGCTGGTTCTACCTATGGCAGCTAAACGTTGGCTGGTTAGAATAACGTTTAGGATGCTGATTTTCTCCTCTTACCAAGGAAAAATAAACACACCAGAGCAATGCAAAGTGGCATCAGATAGTCTTTGTAGCAGAGAGCATCTTGTCACCACATGCCCCATCACATGTTGGCAACTTTCATGAATCGAACCATGTTATTGGAGTGAATAGTTCACAGTTGCCTGCGTCTACATTTCGACTTGGTTTGATAAATACATAAGAAATATAGGCAATTTTTTCCTTAAAAAATGTTGCAGTCAGTTTATAGTTAAACTCAACAGTTACGCCGATTTTGTCCCTTCTCGTGAGCATTCATCCGGTATCGATTTTACCCGTGAGGTGTTAGAGCACAACTGAAGAACGGCTCAGCATAGGTAATGTGCAAGTTTTGCAGCCTGCAGCCGTATACGCAATCTAGAACGCTTACTTAAATCGTGTGCATTTTTTGGGTTGAAATTTCAGGTTTGTTTAAACCAGGTCAAACTCAATTTTGCCGGTTCGTTTTACCAGGCTCCGCAGATTAAAACTGGTATGAGTAAAAGAATGCTACTAACTATTGCCAAGGAATAACCTCTAGATCTAGTAGCAACCAGTTATGCAGCCACTATGGGCTTAGGTAATAAAGTCTTGTGGACAGCATGGCAACATTAAGTCACCATGCTGTATAATGGGTGACATTGGGTTTCAGACCTTCGTGGATCACAGCCATACGAAACACTATCAGATGCTGTTTCATGGTCTTCATAATGGGCTGCATAAAGCTTCAGGTCTTTGTGGATCACGGTCGTACGCACACACTATGAAATGGCTGCTTATAGTCCTTTAAATTATTTAAAGATGCGACTTGGGCTGACCTAACCTTGACCCTAAACGACACATTCCAACGGCACATCATCTACGCTGGCCCATGATATATAACTGCTTTGTGGACCAAATTGGCAGCAATTAAGAGTTATCTTTGATGCGGCCTTCACCTCGAATGACCTTGCAAAGGTCACAGTCATTAATAATTTTCAATATACTACTACTTCTGACCATCAGAGGTCTCGTAGAAACAGCCATGCACAAAAGCAGGCCTGTCACGCAGATTTTCTAAGCCTTCGCCGAACAAATTTGTTGAGAACCTTGTTACAAAAATCAGCGCTTTGACATAGAAGTGACTTGAAATTTATAGGTCGGGCATACAAAATTAAGGGACACAATAGCTGACAAATTTTCGTCATTATGCGTTGGACGGTCGGTGAGTTGTTTCGAAAAACCTGAAGACCTGTCCTGCTTCGGTGATGGCAAATGTTAAGCTTGATGAAATAGTGAAGAAGAGATAAATTCAGGGTACTCAAGATCCCGGATCAAGCTATTTCTGTAAGGAGATATGACTAGGCCTTAATGCCTTATGCAAGAAATATTCATGGGTAATGTCTGCGTAACGCCATTTTTTCCTTCTAATGTGTGCCAGTCTCTGAGAGGCAACTGAGTGTGGATCACGTGGATATAAAATAAGCGCGCAACTGATTTCCCACACAGTCCCCCATGCGATGGCCGGCATGTTGCTGGGATCTGAAGCGGGGCGCAGGTTTTCCAGGAGCGTCCGCCCTCCGATCAGTGGCGCCGACGGTGTCAGATGTCACCAGCTAGAACCGGATCGGCGGTGCTCGTCTCCACCGCCGTCCTGTCAAACAATGACGCGTGCTGGCTAACCGGCGACCGGCGGGGACGGGCGCCGGGCGTATATAACGCGGCGCGTGCCGCAAAATAGCAGACACTAGCTAATCATCTGTCGTGAGGGGCACGTAGGGCCGCGAGGGGTGCTGGCCTGCTAGCAGAGCCGTTGGTAGGTCCTCAGGTCAGAAGACAGCGCAGCAATGGGCCTGGCAAGCGAAGTCGAAGCGCAGGGCACCTCCGGGGCGGTGAAGCCCCGTTTGTGGGCGCAGGTGAGCATCAATGCCGACCAGTGTGTCGTCAGAGGTGATCAAAGCACGTTCCTGTGCACTTTCCACTAATGTCTGCAATGCAACATCACAATCTTATCTGCTGTGCAGCAATCGTCTCTCGCTTCACTAATTCAGTAGCAAGTGCATATAAAGTAAATTTGTTGAGTTGTGTGCAATCTCAGCTTTATCAAGTGCAATGTACAAGCTTTGGTTTTTTAGTTGCGATATACGTAACACGCGCTTAAAAGAGCATGTGAATAATAAGGCGTCTATTCTCAGGTATATCCTCGCGCATTACGCTAAACTATACAGTTGGCCAAGTGGTGAGCCTGTGTCGTCTAGCGGAGTGGCCGATGACTGCTCGCTGACAACGGGTGGCGGGGGCTGATGGCTGACGCCTGGTTCGGCAGCTGCTGGCCACCCTCGGAGCGTCGATGGCCGTCGGAGGCTGGGCCGTCGGCATCGGCGTCGGCGGCCTCTGCGTGGACCAGCTGTCCCGCGGCATCGGCGGCTTCGTGCTTACCGAGAGCCAGGAGGTCTGGATCGGTGAGTGTAGCTCCATAGGAGTGCCAGAAGTTCTGGATCGTTGAGTGCAGCTCCATAGCAGTGTCACCAGGTCTGGAGCGGCGAGTGCAGCTGCGTGGCAATGCCAAGAGGTCTAGATAGGTGAGTGCAGCTCAGTGTGGAAGATAATGAATGGCCAATGGGGAAGAAAGCGAAAGGTGAAACAACTTCTGCCAGAAGATTTTTCTAGATTGTTGTCGTATTCCATCAACGGAGCTGTTCGTCACGCTTAACTTCAGCTAAATGTGTGTGGTGAGTCCAATTGTCCCGACACAGTAATACAATCCAATAACTCAGCATTCCCCAGTCCGCGTGTCTTTTATTAGCTCCGTCTGTTGTCGTTACCTAGTTTAAGTGTAATGCCTGGAGACGCAATGCATTACAATGGCGAAAAATCGAGCCAAAGCATCCTGCACGACTTGCTTCAAATGAATATCTTACCCAGAATGTCTTGTTTTCGCAGTGACGTCCAACTTCATCGGGACAGTGGTCGGATCTGCCGCGGCCGGGGAGTTCTCTCGCCGCCTCGGAGCCAAGAACACCATGCTCTGGTTCTGTATTCCCGCCGTCGTTGGCTTCGTCATCACCAGCGTGGCCAACTGCTACGAGGTTCTGCTAGCAGGTCAGCTTCTCGTCGCACCAGGTCCGGACGCAGTTGAACAGTTGGTGACACCGTTCTGCGGCTTGTTTCAAAGCCATCAGACGTTTGCCCGCGCTCCTCGAAATATAACTGCTGATGTACTTCAAACATTTAGTAAGTTAACTTATGTCATTCGGATACGAAAGAGAATATCCATTGTGTTACGTAGTTGTGCATTTGTCACCGGCAAATGTTAACACGTAACACGCGCTCGGGTGGGGGTAAATTTGCCTCCCACGAAGATGTTTCCGGAATAGTTTGCGAACGGCGCGGCGAAGCCGCGCCAATTTTCTTTTATAGCTGCAGAAAATTGAATAGTAAATTGTTTAATATCATCAATTTGGATGTGCCTTGTAAGGTTGCTGATCCAGGGCAGATCAAAGTCAGGCCATAAATTCAGCGAAGTCAATTGTTGGGGAATCGTTTCATCTGGTGTACATTTCTAAAATACCGTCATGGGCAACGCAACACTTGAATAAACAAATTCCATTGACCTAGGGTCAGGGATCAGGGTTAGACCAAGGTCAAACCCAAAATGTTTTACTATTTTAGGGCTTCCTGTATGGGGTAGTTTCTGGTCCTCATTTTAAATTTGTTGAAAACAGGAACCTCATTATACTTTTGCCATGAGCTTCTTTGAGGTCAGAATAGACCACTGACCTAAAATGATCCATGTCAACGTTTTGTTTTTAGGAACATACTGCCTTGCGTAATCTTTGTCGCTTATTCAAATGCAAAACTAAAAGCAGTCTTGTATGATTTTGGTAACCATGACCTACGAAAGGTCAGACACGGTCACTGACCTTAAATGAGTGTGTGACGTTTTGCTTTAGAACAGGTGTCTAGGCTGTGGGGCACTTTAGACGTCTCTAGTTCTCTTAGTTCCTGAGATCCCAGGGGGGTCAACCCCCACGAGCGAAGGGCATCCAACCGGCCACCCGGGCGCATGTTAACCAGCACCACACTGAGGTAAAGCAGTCAATATTTCGCCCAACTCTGTGCCTTCATCTGACCCGTGTCTGACCCTCTTTCTAGGACGCCTGTTGGTTGGCTTCTGCGCCGGTCCCGCCTTCGTGCTGCACGTGTTCTACATCAGCAGCATTGCGTCGCCGGAGTACCGCGGCCTCCTGGCCATGCTGCCCGACATCATCTACATGCTGTACGTGATCGTGAGCCTGGTGCTGGGCCTGGCGCTGCCATGGTGGTGGGTATCGCTGGTGGGCGCGGCTGTGTTCGCCGTGCCGGCCATGCTGGCGCTGACGCTGGTGCCGTCCGACCCCGTCTGGCTGCTGAGAACCGGCCAGCTGGCCGAGGCCGAGCGCTCGGCCCTCTTCTTCGGCATCGAGCTGCCCACCGAGCCGACCGACACGGCCGTCGTGGCGCGGAAGTCGCCGTGGAGCCTGCTGGGCCAGCGGCGCCACTACCGGCCGCTGCTGCTGTCGGCCGCGCTCCTGTCGGGTGTCTCGTTCTGCGGCTACACGGCCGTCATCAGCTACTCGCTGGTGTTCCTGCGCGAGCTGGGCACGGCGCTGGACGCCACACTCGTCAGCGTGCTGCTCTGCGTGGTGCGCATCGTCACCGTAGCCGTCGTGTCGGTGCTGCTCGACCGAGCCGGCCGGCGCACGCTGCTCATCGTCTCCGCCTGCGGCATGGTGATCAGCTACCTGGCCGTGGCCGCCTACTTCTACGTGCCGGCGCTGGCGGCGTACGCGTGGTTGCCGCTGGCGGCGCTGGTGCTGGCTGTATTCTTTTTCTGCATGGGCGTGGGTTCCGTGTCGTGGTGCCTGATCGGCGAGATGGTGCCGCCGCGGCTGAGCGATGCCGCCGGCGCCGCGCTCGTCTTCTACTACAACGTCGCGTCGCTGCTGAGCGTGCAGCTGTTCCCGGCCATGCTGGCGGCGCTGGGCTTGGGCGGCGTGTTCCTGGTGCACGCCGGCATCGTGTCCGCGCTGCTGCTGGTGGTGGTGCTGGCCGTGCCCGAGACGCGCGGCCTCTCGCTGCAGCAGATCGAAGCGCTGTTCGAGGCGCCCCGGGACGACACGTACAGGCTGGTCAAGGCCCTGCCGCTGCCGGCCGGCTACAACACATTCAGCCCCGTCGGTGGCGGCTGAACGCTGCGCCAGTTGACAGCAGCGGACACTGCACTGAGCGCGGTCTGGTCACCTCGAACCGATGTCACCTCATGGATGCCTCTTATTGTTACCAACTGTGAGGCGGGTACTTCCTCTCAGTCACGCGCGGCAAGTCGGCCCGTTTTGCGGAAACATATGGACGTTGGGTGTGTGGTTGTAGTGTTTGGTGCGGACACTCCACACCATCATATCGGCCGTTCGTAGTTACTGCACTAGTCAACGCCCATTCGTCACACGGAGCACAATCATTTGTTTACCTTGTGCTCTCCGCCACACATCTGGTCGCTGCTTGTTGGCCAGCATGTGAATCTGGGTATGCCCAGGTGTCTGTGATATGGCTCAAACAGTCAAAGGCAGCCTGTGTATATGGTTTGGTGAGGGTGTTCATGTGTCCATTTCTTGCCACCTAGCGATACTGATATACATTTGTCAGCACGGTTGTGAAAGCAGTGACTCACAAACAGTTGTATACTATGAAATGTGAATACACGCGTGTGTACGAGTAACATTGTTTATCGTATGCATTGCGCCACCGAAAAACGTGACATACTCCGAATGAGCTGGCAGCCTGGAGACTGGTCCATAGTTCATCATGGTAGCGATAGCAGCTGTGTCTGGAGGCTGGTTCATCGTCCATCATGGTAGCGATGGCAGCCTGGAAGCTGGTCTATAGTCCATCATGGTAGCGGTAGCAGCTGGCAGCCTGGGGGCTGGTCCATAATCCATCATTGTAGCGATAGCAACTGTGCCCGAAGGCTGGCGCATGGTCCATCATGGCAGCGATAGCAGCTGTGACTGGAGGCTGGTCTATAGTCCATCATGGTAGTGATAGCAGCTGTGCCTGGAGGCTGATTCATAGTCTATCATGGTAGTGATAGCAGCTGTGCCTGGAGGCTGGTCTATAGTCCATCATGGTAGTGATAGCAGCTGTGCCTGGAGGCTGATTCATAGTCTATCATGGTAGTGATAGCAGCTGTGCCTGGAGGCTGGTTCATCGTCCATCATGGCAGCGATAGCAGCTGTGCCTGGAGGCTGGTCTATAGTCCATCATGGTAGTGATAGCAGCTGTGCCTGACCCACGTAAGGAAGAGCGATACTTACCAATCCTTCGGACTTAGGTGGCGACGGCACAGTTCTCATCTACAGGTTTGCAGCGCAATCCCTTCATGTAAACAAACATTTTCAGTGCCATTCAGATGAACACTAACATATAAATGCAGGGTGGCCGCGCAACACGACATTTCACTGTCAGCGCAAGAAGATAACGCAACGCTTGCCTTAATTTCAAGGCTAGACATCAAAATGTTCGTGACTCAGTTAGCTGTACATTTCATACTTCACTGTAAAATACACTGGAATAATTCACTTTACACTGATGGATTTTTGTACAGACTGAATCATCGTTGGACAGAATGCAACACTGCCGCTCGTCGGAATTAGTTGGATTTTAAGGCTACTCTCAGGAGTCGCAGATCTCTCATGGTTCCAGGGTGAATCCAATGCCAAATCCAAGCAAAAACCGGCATGCGATAGTCATTCTAAAACCGCACTGAGCCGGTTACCTTGAATTAACCTACGCAGGCTACCATTGTCAATAAGTTTTAAACTTATTTGAGTCGGTTCATGCTTCATGGCACATATATACATTGAGTTAGGGATCATATGAATGCAATAAACACGAAATATGTATGGCAAAGAAAGACTTTCATGTTTCCGGTAATTACCCTCCGTCGAATATTGGCAAATCACTACATAGCTAGCGCGCAATAAATTGTGTACAGCAGTCACTTGCGGATAGCATGAATACTCATTTGCACACTTAATGAAAATGGCAGGGTATTTTGTGATGCGCGTACCGTGTCGATGCCAAACCTTACGTTAAGTCAAAGGAGGATAGTTACGTTTTCGTTAATGACGGTTGCAATGTCTCGAATACACGTAGTTTCTTGAAGTTTTCGCTCAACATTGCAATAGCACTTGCATAATATTTGCGGCATGATAGGTTCAGATTACTTCGCTAAGTTACATACCTTTGTTTTACCAGGAGGTATAAGTTTAACGACGCCATAGTGCTAAGCAACTATCATATTCGCGGTACTCAGTATTTCGCGCTGTGCCTACTTATTACCAAGAGTCAATAGTCATCCTCGAGCGTGAACGTAGCTCAAAATACTAAGTACCGCCATTACGATCGTGTTTAGCGCTCTAACATCGTTTAGCGAAAACCTCCTGGTATATTGAAGGTTCTTAATTCAGTACAAGTATTTTGAACTCATAACCTCGAAAAAATAGGATCTGAAGCATATTCTTCTTACACCAAATACATAATATTTACCGCATAACTAGTACTTCAGGTGCCAGGTACAGAATACCAATCGTATGCCACTTTTGCTGGCTTGAATTTCGTCCGTATGGCTCACCTCGAATCTATGAGGTGAGGACCGCACAAACCAATCAAGCACATACCACAGTACCTATCTGATATATGAAAGGAGCCTATTGTTCCAGATGTATATATATATATATATATATATATATATATATATATATATATATATACATATATATACATATATATGTATGTGTGTGTGTGTGTGTGTGGTGTGGTGTGTGTGTGTGTGTGTGTGTGTGTGTGTGTGTGTGTGTGTGTGTGTGTGTGTGTGTGTGTGTGTGTGTGTGTGTGTGTGTGTGTGTGTGTATGTGTGTGTCATGTATGTGGGACCTCCTGAATATAGAAGGTGCCTCCTTACCCAGAACAGGGCCTCCGGCTTATAACCGGGGCCTCCCGTGCCAGCAAAATGCGCTCCTTAGCACAGCATTGCGCCTTCTGATTTAGAGCATGCGCTACCTTATGCATATAAGTGGCCTTATGGTCCGGAAAACGGACTGCTGTTGTAGAAAGGGGTCTTCTGATCCTAATTTAACCTTTCTAGCTCAGTAATGGGGTGTCCTCTTTACCTGAGTACCAGCGGCTACCAAGCCTTTAGTTTTGGAAAAAGGGGCCTCCCAAAAATGGGGGGGGGGGGGGAAATTATACTCTTCGTCCCCTACCGGCAGGCAGGGGTTGTCACCCTGCTGCGCGTAGACATTTGTTTTATCATAGCCATCACGCGCGTGTCACGGAAGTCAGATCAAAGCGAGCTGCTACGGCCAACCGGGCCCTGGCGGCCAGCATCCAGCCCCTGCGAACCGCCGATGCACAACGGGCGGAGTGCTTGGATGGTCCCGCGGGACTTGAATGGCCCTGTATGGTCGCACAAAATCGCAACTATTTTGAGAACGCGACGAATTCCAAGCTTTCATGTCGGCTGTACGTAGAATGCAGTGCATGTTCCAGAAGCATGCCTGCTAACTCCAAGATCTGCGGCGCTTTGCTTCCCCTGACATATGATTTAAAAACGAACTGAAAAGGACCGCAGAATTCCCGGCATGCAACACAACCAAAATCAAGACAGAGTGTACAGCTTGTCTTAAGAGCAAAATCAAACGCATGCATTTTCAAATGAAGACGAGCTGTGCATAAACAGCGAACTGAGCCAGCGGAAGACATGCGAATCGAAACGCAATGACCTCTGGTACTCTTTTTTCAAGTCATCGCAGTCAAAGTTGGTATAGCCAGCGCTGGGTGACAACCAAGCGACGGCTAGTGAGCCTTGTCTGGCAGCGAAAGAACATGAGGAAAGGCAGCAGCCGGCTATGTCATCTTAGAGGCCGCCCATAAAAACGCACACTGTATATTTTTGCTCATTTGCAACAGCCTTCCTCCTGATTACGCAGTAGGTTATGTTCGGCGCAAGCCTTCTCTCCTTGGTTAGGCTTTGTTACGCGCAACTTCTCAAAAAGGCACGTCTGTTTGGCCCCCAAGTGTGAATAAACCTGACGGATAATCATTCCTCTCGCCGCGTCGATTGCCTTTGTTATGCACAGTTCATTAGCATCGTGAATTGAACGCTTACAACATCAATACCAGGGGATTACGGTCCAATCATTTCAGTTTTACAGGTGAGTTTTCAGCTTTTTGGTGAGCTGTTTTTTCAGCGCTATAAAAGCGCTCTAAAATGTCCGGTGTGTGCCAAAATCCACCACTACTGTAGGCTTCCTTCAGGCGTACTTGCTGCTGAGTCAGCTGGCACGACGTTGTCTAGCTCTGAGATGCGAACACACACACATATCGCATTTGTAACTTACAAAGGAAGAATTTTAAGGTTGTTAATTTCTAGGATTACAACAGGAAGAGCCCAACGTGTAAAAGAAGAGCGGTTACAGCTCGCTCTGTGGTTTCAAGCTGGCTCGTTCATTGATATCACAAAAAAACTTTCAAACATTGAACGGCCTGATGCTCTCGCTGATCACCTGGCCAATAGCAGGCGATCAAAGAGAGCATTGTTCTGCGCACAGAGCCCGCTAATAACGTGGCCTGATGGAAGGGTATTGGATTTGCAATAAAGTGGTACTTGGTTAAGACCTGGGTGGACACATTGTTTTCTCCCACTGTCGAAGAAAGATCAGCTGGCACCTTGCCAAACGGGGTCAGCTTGGCCTGCGCGACTGGGTCGGAGTACTGTACGACGTGTTAAACCGTCTACAATGCTGTCTGGCAAGAAGGGCGCAGACGACATTATGCAATGAGCCGGTCGGCGTAATGTGGGATCGCAGGGCACGCAAAGTCATCCACCTAACGGGAATGGTGGAATCAGAAAATGCGCACAAATACCCACTGAATAAGCGTGGAGGGATCACAGAACACGCAAAAATGTCCGCTTAATGTGGGCGGTGCGATCAGAGAACACACGAAACCCTCGCTTCCAAGTATTGCGATCAGAAACCACACAAAACCCACGCTTACAAGTATTGTGATCAGTTGCAAGTACTGTGATCAGTTGCAAGCATTGTGAAAAGGCTTAGCAAGTACTATGAGCACAACAACATCCAGGCAAGGGAAGGCATATAACACTTCTTTGCAACACTTTTATATTCTACCAAAGCTTAGATCGGACTACTGTGTGTGGTGCAACGCCTCGCCGACTTCAAAACCAGGCTGGAACCTGCCATGCGTGAGCTTCAGTACTGGTTCATTGCCAGTTCTCTCCAAATGAACAAAACGGAAGTTGCTTTACATTTGGCTCCCGGGGCATAAGCCACCTCCAGGGAAGTGGAATGAAACCTAAACAAGGACGCGAAAACCGGGGAGGGTGGGGGTGGCGGGAGTAGCTTAACCCTCTCCCCCCGCCAACTTGAAAACTGGACGGATCATATGCAAAAGCCCATTCTGGCCTGTTGTGGGCTTATTCTGGGCTATTCAAGGTCCCTCCTGACCACAAGAGAGCAGTTCTGAGCCTCAAGAGGGTTCATCCTAACCTTTAGAATGGTCATTCTGGTCTTGCGAGGGGTCGTTCTGGCCTGTAGATGGCCCATTATGACGTACAGACCCATAATGATCGATAGCAGGTTTATCATTCACTTGGAAAGTTTATCGCTATTCTGACTTGTAGATGGCTCATTCTGGCCTGCAGAAGCTTACTTTCTTATCTTACAAGGTCTGTTTTGGCATTTTGGAGCTCCTCCAGCTTGAACACAGTTTCCGCGCCCCTGAACCCAAGTCCCCCTTGGCTACATCGCCGTCGGTTGCACGCGTGACGTCATCAGTGCGGCGCTAGGTAGCGCACCACAGGGCTGGGCTGAGGTTGCGGCCGCGTCTGCGGCTGCGGCTGCGGCTGGGCCTGGGCCTGGGCCTGAGCCTGGGCCTGGGTATGTGGCTGGGCATGGAGCTGGGACTGCTGGTGACCCTGGGCCTGGGCCTATGCCTGGAACTGGGACTAGCGCTGTGGCTGGTTTCGGGTCTGGGACTGGGCCTGAAACATGTGCCACAACACGCTGTTCGTGATCGAGACTCTCATTTGCCGCGCAAAGCTGGTTGAAAGCCAACTGGTGTCTGTTAATGCGACAATTCATGCCAACTTACGCCAGACACGAATAAGTCAATGGCCGGGCATGTATCTCTTGACCTTGAACATAATGTGACCGTTGAGGAGGGGGAATTTGTGTGACGTCGCTATGACGTCATATATCCTGGTCGTCTTCAAATTAGGCAGCGCGAAATAGTCTGCACAAGTTCCGTGCGCGTAGTTCAGGAACAAAAGGTTTAAAGTTATGCTGAAGGCATAACTGAGCATTGCAGAGAATAATATCGAAAATGGCTATCTCAGCTCAAAAACTCATGCCAAAATTCCACACCGCATAATTGTGCAACAGTCCTTTGAATGGGCAATCTTAAATTGAAGAGTGACTTCTTGAGTTGTATATTGCTGTCCACTCTTGGTTGCTTTACATTTGAACGTCTCGTGGTGTGGTGTTCTTTCGAGATATTGTACGAAACGTATTGCTCCGTGAATGATTTATACTCAGATAAGCCTATAACTTCGTTGGAGCGTATCTAATGATAAAGACGAATACCTAAAACACGCGTCAACTCAATTACGATGATAAAACCAAGCGAACATTTTTAAATTGTTGCTTTGCATCATAGATTACTTCATTACCTGGGTTCACCGGATGTCCCATCTATTATTATAATGCAATCTGGCACAGGTGAGGCAGAGAGGTAATTCCGACGAAGCCGACGCTTACATTGACCACATGATGAACACGTGCTTGCTGTGCATGTGACTGTCTGCACACCTGATCTACTGCGGTGTGGGATGTGACGATGACCGAGGCCCTCCGGTGGTGTCTAAACCGCGCGCGCACACCCCACGCCGCGCTACAAAACCGCCGACGGCACGCAGCGGCGCGCAGACTGTTCTCCAGCAGCGGCACTGACCTCTGCCGCCCGACCAGCGCCGCTCCGTGACAGACCCGCTGCCTGCACGCTACAGGTGAGAGAGGACCGAGTGGGAGGGAGACGGGGCGCAGGGCACGACACGGGGCCCGAACCGACTCAGGGTAACCCAAAGATTGTGTTGATTTAACATGATATGAACGCGACCTGCGGACCACCAACAAGGTTAACCTTACACGCATCCGCGTGGTACCAGTTTGATCCCAGAAGGTTTTTTACGAAATAATTCTCCACGGCACGGTGTAATGGCGCCGAACTTTGCATAGCCGTAGACAATCGAATAGCGGATCTTTTGTGAAGGGAAATTGGATGTATCTGTTAAGATCACTGACCTATGGCGGATCAGAGCCAGGACGTGGCTGTCAGCGAACACGATTTCTAGCGAATCGTTCGAACTGTTGGGTCAGCAGTGTTAGACGAAGCCTAGCAACCTGCTGACTCTGGGATCTCTCCTAGTCTCTGAGATAATTTCTTATGCAATAAAATCATTGGAGTTAACTTAAAACATATTGCGTTGGCCTAGGGTCAGATATGAGGGTCAGGCCGGGGTCAAGGTCAACCTGCCTTTTGACTGGAGAGCTTTCTATATACGTTACACTTTGATGACCATTTCAAATTTCTTGATAAGAGAGACCGCGATAGACATCGTCCATGCAGATCCTAAAGGTGAGAAAATGCTACTGGCCCAAAATGACCCAGATCAACTTGTTTTAGAAACGCGACGCCTAGCGTAGTACTTAACGCCTATATAAGTTAGAAAAACCAAAAACAGTCTATACACTTTTGGTCCCTATGACTGTCTAAAAGTGAAAATGTCTCTGACCTAAACAATGTCACCGACCTAAAATGAATACCAGTGACCTTTTTCTTAGAACAGTTATCTAGTGTCTAAGTTCAAGGCGGTTGCAGGAGAAAGTCTGGGACACTTTAAGCAAACTATTGAGTTTGACCTTATTTGACCTTGTTTAACCCGAAGGTGGAAGAAACCTATGTGCCTCAAACGTTGACACAAGTAAGTTCACATGAAGGCTGAACTACTTGGTGAATTCGTTGTCTATATCTCTCTTAGTATTAGGATTTTAAGGAAGGGGTCAAACTGACCCCGCACCCGAACGAGGGGTATTCAACCGGCCACCCGGGCGCGTATTTACGTAAAACATGTCAGAAGCACGCCCGTCGCCAGAGGCCGTTTTCATGGGGCATTTGTGACGTGGACTTGGGTGGCTTGGGCGTGTAGCTTACCCTTCATGAACTCACAACGCACATAGGAATGGGGCTTACACACCGCAGTGCCGAAGGAACAGAAGATGATATTGAACAGGCACGGGGAGAAAATGGCCCGCTGCGGCTACTTCTAATATCTTGTTCAAGACATGCTGAGATTTGGTATATTTTGATATTTGCAAAAGGCGGGCGTCTCGCGAAGATCATGGGTTTAAACCCGCAATTACAAATATATGACGGTATTGCCTCTGGAGTTAACGCAAAAAAATAACAAAACGCCAGGCGAAGCCATTACCTTTTTAGCCATTGGACCTCGTGATTGTCTTCTTGTCTTGTTTATTTATATCTTGGTAGATATGTAATGAGATATCGAATAACTTGAGGCATGAAGTGAGCAATATTACATGGCGTAGATCAATCCAAAAAGTATATTTTAGCTATTAGCTAGCTATTAGTAGCTACTGGTGCTAACATCAAAATGGCCCGATGAATCCTTTCACTTGGATACAAGAGCCTACCAATGCTGGCTTCAACATTCGCCGAGCAAAGGTGAATGCCTCCCACAAGAACAGAAGTTCAGAGACTAGGGGAAAACAGCGGGAAGGGGTGCAGTATTATTTAACATTTTATACTAAATTCATTGCAGCACAGGTGTTGCAAAAATCGTCCTATGTCTCGTTTGGCCATTGAGCTATGACACTATTTCGGATGGTTTGCAGTTATTTACAACACAAATCCCATCTTTTGCATTGCCCATGGCAAGCCTGTAATAACGTTGGCCACAAGGTTAACGTGGAATAGCAGTAAACGGGCACAGAGCTCACTTGTGATAGGTCAGTGAACGGTCGGTGACCTTTTCAAGGTAAACTTAGGCCTTACCTAAGGTCTTTTTGGTCGATGGTCCATGATGGGCTTGTTGACCTTACATCAGCCGTATGTTACTGTCTTGCAATTAATCTGATTTTCAATACGGCTTTCAGCTTGTATGGGCATGACGGAGCCGTCCCCCTCTCCGGAAGATTTTGTCGAGTTCTGACCCATCTCAGACATCACAGCTGACCCAAGCAGGACGGCCACCGGCAAACATCTATATATCAAACTGGAAATATAAAAATTCCTTACGCGCTGCGCTATCCACTGGTTTTTGCCTCGTGGCTGTAGCTCAGTTTGGGTGCGCATGGCGGGATAGGTGCACACCATCCCTGGCCGAGGACGCGAGTGGAAGTAAATGACCCGGAGGCGGTGAAGACCATTCTTGACCAATACAGGACAAGCTTTGTTTAGAAAATTACCCAAAGCAGATATTGTTACTAAGCGTCCTATGTAGAACATAGAACTACATAGAACTAGTCATTGCCGATGCGGCCGGGGTACATGTCTCCTGGGTTAGTCAATGCCACAATAGGTCATCAGATAACGTCATGCTGTCATTGGAAGTGAATGGTGGCCAAAGCCCCTAACTGTGCTTTCATGAATTTCGGGCCCTTCAGCCATCGTAGCCAATAACCATGTGGAAAAGCATCAGAAAGGAAACTGTAGGTGATCGAGATGTGCTTCGAGCTGCCCGCGCGAGGTTTTGGACAACAGTTTCCGGACGCTAAGCCATTCATCATTTGGACCCCACTTCCGGCTTCATGCTGCCCGCTCTCCACGCCTTGTCTTGCAGGGAGCGCCTAAACTCGGGTCGTCCACAGTCAGCCGGTCCGACCGGCCGCCAAACCTGTCCAGGAGCCCGCTAACCCTGGTGTATCCCTGTCGGTTCTGGGTTAGCCTCGGCGGCCGAACTAAGCCAGCACCGCCACAGCAATGTCCCACTCTCCTTCGTCTTCTCAATGCCACAGCTCCGAAATGGTCGGTTTTAGCTGTGAGACCTCCAGCCTATCCGAACCAAGCTGTGGGTGATTTACCGATGCACACATGTTACGGAGCTCTTGCATGCGCCTCGCGTGATGACAAGGAACCTCCGGGACCACATAACCGCGTCGCGGAAAACACCCGTCGATCGCCCCCAACAGGTAGCAGCAGCGCCAGCCTCGGGCTCACTTCAGCCGGCGAGAGCACGGCTCCACCGCCCGCTAACTGGGGAATAAATATTGCATTTGGGCGCTAAGCCTGCACATGATGAACGGAGCGGGCCGGCGGCTGCGGGGAAATTCGCCGAGACAGTCGGGCGCCGGGCCGAATCCCAGCAGTGCAGAGGCGCAATGATGAATCGGCAGCGCGCAGCCTCTGATGCCCCCCCCCCCCCCCCGAGGACTGCGCTGGCCGCTGCAGGTCTCGCTGAGGACACTGTTTCTGTTCCCTCACCCCGAGCGCCAGCACTCGCGAACGTAGCACTCGTACTAGTAACGTAGTGCTTGCAGAACGCACAGAACTTAATACAGTTCGCGTGCAGGAAACCAACGTACAGCGATGCTAGGGTGGGAAATCATTTAGGACCGGCGGCGTTCCGGTGTTTTATTCCAATGCAAGAATGCATGCATCTATTATAGCTCTAAATGTAGGCTAGGTTTTTAATACACAAATCAGCTGGGCAGTTTGCCTCGCGTAAGTGGCCAAAACATCAGTAGGTAACGATTTTATACCGTGCTGTCCGCCTGAGCCGGGCTGGCTAACCGGGCCGCCGGCGTCCGCCGGTGTTGACCGGCGCGGCCCGCTGTCCACAGGCTGTCCGGCATGAGGTGGCGGCTTCTGTGGCTGAGCCTGACGGCGCTGCTGGCGACGCTCGGTCAGAGCCGGGCCGGGCCGCTCCTCTCTCTCAGCCCGCCGGCCGCCAGGCGCGCGCCGTTCGTGCGCCTGGGCCGGGGCCGGCCCGTCTGGGACGATGCCGACGAGCCCTGGATCGAGCGCTCCGACCGTGCCAGCTTCCTGCGGCTCGGCCGTCAGCTCTACCCGCGCCAGGTTCGCGCCAGCAGCATACGGCTCGGCCGCTCCCACGCGCGCGGCTCGTCGCGCGGCTACAAGCGCTACCAGATCCGGCTGAAGCGCGCGCTGTAGCTGGCTACGCTCCACCAGCTCGCCGCCCAAGTCGCTGCCGTCGGCGAGTCGCAGCCGGAGACTGGCGGCCACTGAGTCTGCGCCGCAGGCACCGCTGCCTGGCTGTCATGACCGCGCCGCCAGAAGCGGCTCCTGCCGGATCGTCTCGTGGCGCGCCGCCGCACCCGCCGGCCGACGCAGAGCGCGGCGCGCCGGCGGCCGGCGGCGTCACCCCGCGGCGCTGTGACCCCGCGACCACGTGACCCCGCCGAGGCGAACCGGGGGTCGTGAAGCCGACAATCCTGACAAGCGATACTAACGTGACGCGAGACGTGGCCGAGCGAACACGGCGACCGGTGACAGTGCGGGCCCCTGTTTGCAAGTGGACGCAATGTTAATGGGGCTGCCCTACTGTTAGCAATTGGTACAGAATATCGTTTGTTGCCTAGATGATTGCTTACTTTCTTCGCATTAACTGTCCCTTGCTGCGTGTACAGAGTGACAAATCCGCCCCACTTGCATAAGGTACGGGCAGGGCATGTCAAACCATATTTTTGCGGAGCCCTTTTTGTCAGCATATATATATAATATGTATATATGTCATGCAGCATGTTGTGATGTGCCATGAAGATCATGTGTGAGACACGGGATGTACTGCATTATTTAGGTCGGATTAGGCGAAAAAATGTGGGCAGCAAACTAATAATTGGCCAGATAAAAGCGTATGTAACGACAGACACTTGATATTTTGTGCCCACTCCACCGCGTCAGCATTTATTGCGTTAAGGACTGCAAAACCAAAATAATAAAAAAACTTGTGGATATTTGGTGTGCCCCTCGTTGAGTGACGACGGCTAGAGATGGGTTTCGTTTTCTGCCCAGCTGCGCCAGACTGTACCCACGCGGTCGTCCCTGCCAACCGACCGCATATGTTGATCTCAATGTGCATGATGAATACACACCAGTGCAGCCACTGTCTCATTCATGCCATCGGTGCCATCGTCACCCGTGTTCCATGCAGTCGTGAACGGCAGCGTGTGAAGTGTCGGCACCCATGGCACAGTAGCGCGCTTCAGCTGTAACGGGCCTGTTGGCTTACCCCTCCCCCCACAGAGGTCTCGCTCAGGGGCTCTCCCCGATCCGGCGCCAGGCCGTCACCAACACGGCGCCCGAGCTCATTCTACTGGGCTCAAGCGGCGAGACAATGATGCTCGGGCGGCGCCCGGCTGTGACGCTCGGGAGGAGAAGGGGGGGGGGGGGGGGTCACTGGGGCTTTACGACGCATTCTGCTACTGAGGCTATATGACATCGCCTGCCTCTCACCCTGGCAGGAGGGGCGGGCACCGCGGGGAATCGAACCCCGTATCTCTTGATTCCCAGACGCGCAGTGGTTAACGCAAACGCGTTAACCACTACACTACCGGCACCCCCTGCGTGACGCTCGGGCGGCGCGGCTGACTGTGACTGTGACACTCGGGCAGCGCCCGTCTGTGACTGTGACGCTCGGGTGGTGCCCAGCCGTGGCTGTGACTGTGACGCTCGGGCAACGCGCGGCTGTGACTGCCACGCTCGGGCGGCGCCCGGCTGTGACTGTGACTGTGACGTTCGGGCAGTGTCCGTCTGTGACTGTGACGCTCGGGTGGTGCCCGGCCGTGACTGTGATAGTGACGCTCGGGCAACGCGCGGCTGTGACTGTGATAGTGACGCTCGGGCGGCGCCCGGCTGTGACTGTGATAGTGACGCTCGGGCAGTGCCCGGCTGTGACTGTGATAGTGACGTTCGGGCAGTGCCCGGCTGATCATCAGGTCAGATGACGAGAGTGAGTCCTGGCAGCACTGTCTTTGCATTTTCTAGACCGTCCCTGTCGGGATCACGCGCGTTGGTGATCACAATCACCGATCGATCACCGAACACGATCCCCAAATGCACCACCCGACCATGGCTCATCCTCGGAGTGGGCAACAAACTCGTTTCAATCTGGCCACAATGAGGCACATACTTTATTACATGCACCGACTCTTGATCCGAACGTCATCACACCTGATCTCACATTCGTCATCTGAACAGACGATACGAATACATACACACGCACACATTAAACAGGTGTATGTACAGCATTAGACAAGGAGCCATTCACTTCAGCAGCACGAGAGTTCCCGAGCCGCGCCACCCCTGCACTGGACCAGCGCGCTCGCACACTTCAACACACTTCATTCGCTTGGCCGCGGTCAGGGCCGCGCCCGTCCGAGAGCTACGCCCAGTAAGCGCGCCAGGTGCGAAGCGGGCCCGGCCGAGAGGGGATGTCATCCCGACCAGACCGTGACGTCACCAGACTGACAGACTAGACCGTGACGTCACCAGACTGGCACACCAGACCGTGACATCGGCAGACTGGCAGACCCAGCCAGCACGGCGGACACGACTCACAAGTACCGCGTCCCGAGACCATGAAGTCCGTTCTGCCGCTTGGACCAGGTCCGCGTCAGTCACTGGGTCTTTGTCCGCTTGGCCTTGTCTCCACTGAAACGAAAAAAGACAGTGATACATGCGCACTGCAGGGGCAAATAGCGTCCCTACATGACACAAAAGGCGGCCATTGAAAGCGGAACAACGCTAACCTCCACATCGAGCAACAGTCACTATTAAGGCAACAGAGCTTGCTTCGGGGCGCGCACGCAATGGAAATGGATGACATACATCGCGTCAGTTCCTTTCACCAGCCTGGTCGATGAGCTCACGGTTATCAATCAATCGGCGCCGATCCGGCAGCTTTGGCGCGTGAAGTCGGCACGGAGTCCATTCCGGGTTCCAATCATCGCGCCTCTACACCAGCTTGAGCTAACGAGAAAACTAAGGAGCGCGAGCCCGCACACGGCGTACCCTTGACTAGATTCGACCCGACGTCATTCCATCGACGCCATCGCGAAACGCGGCGTGCGTCAATCGCACTTTCCACGAGAGCTCGCCGGGCATGCACACAGGTAGGGGTGGGGGAAAGGGCAGGCCGAACGGGTCCGGCGTCCACTGGACGATCGCGCGGTGGTCGCAGAGATCGCCGACATCCACACAGGGAGGTGGGCGCAGGCGAGGACCCTCGGGCGTCCAGACAGAAGAGTGGGCGCAGGCGAGGACCCCCGGGCGTCCACACAGGGGATTGGGCGCAGGCGGGGACCCCCGGGCGTCCGGACAGGGGAGTGGGCTGCCGCCACCGGTGATCGACACGGGCGTGCCGTAATTGGGAGCGTCGGGCGTGCCGCGCGTCGCCCTGGGAGCCGCAGCGGCGGCCGACAATGCGCCGCAGCTGCGCGCCGCCGCCATCGCGTTCGGACATCAGACAGTGCATAACGAATGCATCGGCGCACCGACACGATGGCAATTGTACACAGGAGGCGCGGTCGGCCGCTGGCAGCGCCGTTTACGATGGCTCGTTGATTCGTCCCAGGCAATGGATACGGCCACTAGCGACGCTCGGGGCCTCGGCGGCCGCGTGGCGAATGACCCTCCGACATTACGGCGCGGGGCATGAAGACATCAGACCGGAACTGTGCAATCAGCGCCGTTTTCCACAGGACGCACGCACCGCCGTCACCGGTGGCGGTGAGCGGGGTGTGAGCGGCCGAGACGATAAGCGGTGCGAATGTGGGCTGTACGTGGCCAGGAACCAGCGGGCGGCAGCGAACGCGGCACGGTGAGCGTGCGACATTAGGAAAGAACGCCAGCGAGAAGCTGGTTGGGGAGCCAGCCGTTAACGTAGGCGGGAGAACGGTTTCGAGAGACACCGGCGCCCGCACCGGCATGCGACGCTGAAAGCGACTCAGACCGACCAGCGGCCGCACGAGGATAGCACGAGGATAGCACGGCCGCGCCCCCGTGCGAATCAGACCGTTCAGCGACCGCGCGTGAGGATAACACGGCTTCGCCCCCGCGCGGCTCCGGGCGGTCAGCGGGCGCGCGCGAGGATAGCGCGGCTGCGCCCCCGCACGGCTCAGGGCGGTCTGCAGGCGCATGTGAGGACACCACGGCTGCGCCTCCGCACGGCTCAGGGCGGTCTGCAGGCGCGCGCGAGGATAGCGCGGCTGCGCCCCCGCGCGGCTCAGGGCGGTCTGCAGGCGCACGTGAGGATAACACGGCTGCGCCCCAGCGCGGCTCCGGGCGGTCAGCGGGCGCACGTGAGGACAGCACGGCTGCACCCCCGCGCGGCTCAGACCGTTCAGCGGGTGCGTGCGAGGATAGCACGGCTGCGCCCCCGCGCGGCTCAGGGCGGTGCGGCACCCTCGCGAGCTCGGGCGGGGCAACGACGCCCCACGGGGCCGGCGGCGATACATGCCAACGTCCATACATAACGAATGTGACAGCGGACAAACACCACGCTCAGATGTATGAGATGCATGGGGCGGTCGGCCGCGACGACGCGCGGATGGCTGGACGGTGGGGGCGGCTCCTGTGGACCGCAGCCGGGCTCGCGCCGCTCGCAGCGCGGTCCCACGCCGCACTCGTCTGCCCCTGCGGTCTGCAGCGAGACAGCGACCGCTCTCGCTTCATGCATTGCGGGACGAACGAGGTTAGGACGGCATCGGCGGCGGGAGAGTAGCGAGCGTCTGACTGATGAAGCGGCACGGATAGAACGCCTTAAGAATTTGGAGCAATTTCTGGTGAACAAAGTTACCGGACTCACAAGTGAGAGCGATCCTAAATTTCTACAAAATGGCATGACAAGCGCTTAAAATGAACGCACGTTGCCACTTAAAATGAACGCACGTTGCCACTTAAAATGAACGGACGTTGCCGCTTAAAATGAACGCACGTTGCCACTTAAAATGAACGCACGTTGCCGCTTAAAATGAACGCACGTTGCCGCTTAAAATAAACGCACGTTACCATTTTATTCCCCGAAAACCTGCCATTTTTAGTCCGAAAACTTGCCATGTAGAACAGTAGCTCGTAATACATGACAACGTCCATTCTTCTTTCACCGATCAAACATGACATCACTTGAAAGAAAAGTCAGTCAGCCTATTCCTCAGGCTATACAAAATGGATTGCAAACACCGCGGAATGAAGAGGCACACGTGGAAACGTCTTTCAAACTAAACAAGTCCAAGACAAGTCCAAGAAAGGGCACTTATTGTCGCCCGTTCATGGGTGACGTCTTATAACATGAGGCGTCATGGAAAGAGTGAGCTTGAAAAGACGGCTTTGGTCTCCAGGAACTAGGCGATAGATAGTAACTCAGTCTCTCAGTAGTGGATAGCAGCTCAGACTACATTTTAAAAAATCGGTGCCACCGAAACTTATCTCAAACTTAATTTTTCATGACACGATGGGAAAACTGCCATCTCCCAACGCAGATTTTCATTCCCATCAAATGCAGAGCAGAGGTCTCGATGTTTGTGTGAGGAGGTCATCGGCTCACCCCACAGTGACGCTAAGCCACCAATACTGCGACGCCATGTTCACCGCCATGACCTTCGCGTGCCAGCCTCCTGAGGAGTTCACGATGGACATCAAAGCTTTTCAGACAGATCGTGGTGCAGAGAGCGAACGGCCGGCAATAAGAGACGTTCAAACTCTACTACCTTTTTGAAAACGACAGTGCCATGGCTAAAATTAGCTGATTCACGTACCGTTTTGTTGCGTAATGACATGAAGCGTTGTTAGCACCACACAGCTACTTATGAGCGAAATGCCGACCAAGCAGGGAGTGGGCTTTGATATGGCAACTTCGCTCGGTCCTGCGGCCAATGGGCTTACTGCCAGCTAGAAATGGGGTTCCTTTTGTTGGGATGAAGCGGGCCATTGGTGAGGGACAAGTGGTTTTTTATTTCAAGCGAACACTCGCTGTTTGTCTATCGTTCATACTTTGCACTGAGTCGAAACGACATCAACGTTACTCGACGATATACTGGCCGCGTTAAAGTTAGTTACATTTAATTACTGGTCTACCTGCAAGCCAACAGCGTTAAGATACGGACCGTGTCAAACGCTTTCAGGAAATCACCGCCACTTTCATTACAAACAATCGCGGAACAGCGCTAGCGAGCCCTATAGTTTTCACTCGACGTGGCACGGCTGTTTTTCTAAGGTTTTAGCAAGTCAGGCCAGCGAGCGTGCATTCACTTCAAGGCTTCCCTTTAATTGAAACTGCCTCTAGGTGTTTGCTGCGTTAGGTGGCCACGACAGTCCGCCCGTCTTTAAAGGTCTCCCTCTCAGGTGTCACGGCCAGCAACGAGGACGTCCACCGCCGGCGAGGTGCCGCGTAACAGACGCCGCCTCTCAGCCCCGCAGAAACCTTCCCTTATCCGGCCGCGTGCGCGTGGAATGACTTGCTCGATGCCATCACTGGGACACGGGTCGCGCGGCCTCATTGCGTGCTGTGCGGCAAGCAAATCAATGAGATTCGGGCACCAAAGCTATGCCAAAGCAGAACAATCTGTAATCTTGAGATGCTTGCTGTTGAATGTGTCTTTTTATCGTGCTGCTATCAATGACGTCACTTTGAGTGTGCTCCAACACCTGACTGGGTTCGTGATAACCAATGCATGGATGGATTTGAAATAAATTAATATGAATACAACCAGAGCTGCGCCACCTAGGAGAGGGGGGCACGTTTCCCTCCATTGTTGAATACGAGGGGAAAACTTTCTTATCCCTATCCTAACACTTTTCTTTCAGGATGAAAGATGTTCTTCGTACATACTTCCACTACTAGCCCCATATTCTTAACTTTCCTACCATACTTAAGTTCCCTCACCTTCATAGGTCTGCATTGCTACAGTGCGATGCTACAGACTACAAACTCAAAACACCGCTGAGCGATATTTTGCCTATACTAACCGAGCACGTCCAGCGTCTTCCCTGCATTTCAAGCCGGATTACGACGTGATTAGATCAATGTGGAACTACCACCTATAGATGTTAGACATTCCTTATACAGTAAGGTGAAAACTGATGTCGACTCGTAGCATACGTATTACAATGCGATATCCATAACTCCCCAGGTACGACTGCTATTTCTGTACGCTCTCCGTCAATGACCATCACTTGCTATCACCACTTTCAACGTCGTGCTTTCGCAGCAACTTCAAAACGCAAATAGCCACGGCCTAGCAGTTGCGGGTTACTTTAAACTTTAACGTGCCGCGGTGCTCGGCAAGGTCCGCCCCACCCGCTGACGTCACGTGACCTTGAGCGCGGCCGCTCCCACCGGCCGCTGGTTATCCCAGTCAAGAGCGCAGAGCCCCTAAAGCGCCGTGAACCCACCCGGCCACGGGTGGGCGGATCGGAAGGCAAGCGTTCTAAGCAACTGAGCTATTGGGAAAGACAACGAAGTCATAAATCAAACTTCGATCAGATTTGATTGCTATACATCAAGTGGCACGCCTTAGCAGCTAGAGCAAATGAAGTCCTGAAAACAACAACACGTTGTCAGCGAATATAACCTACCAACCGTTCACTGATATGAACACTGTCCGAACCATAGGCACCTTAATAATGAACCGAGAACCGACCTACGCCACTTTTCGCAACTACCCCCGGATACAACGCGCTTTATCCCCAGACGCGAGACTGGACTGTAAAAACTGCATAAAATACATCCAACCATAACCAATATTCACCCGAAATATACGTGTCTTTCAAACAGCTTGGCCAGTCACCAAAGCATGAGGCACTCTAAATTCCTCTTTTCGTCGATTTAAATATTTTGCTTTACCAGCCAAAAGACCGACAAATTTCAAGCACCATAAGTCCTTGAGCGGAAAATAACCGACCTTCGCTACACGAGGACGAAAAAAGTCGAGGATATCAAGGCACCCTTGGGACATGCTTATAAACACACTCGAAATTTCCACGAAGCTCAAGTCTGTTTGCTGATCTGTTTGCAGCCTTTTGCCTTTTAGCCCGTGTGCAAATCAAACAGCGGGACGCCCGACGCTGTAATTCTGACAAGGTGCAGGTGCGCACGGCATGGCCTACTATGGCAAATTTCGTGCCGATGCCGTCAGCTGACAGCGCATGGCTCGTGTCGCTAAGAGCGTTTCTAGCCCGCTACAACTTGCATGAGTGGCCTGAAAACGCAAAGCGTACCAAAACCGGTGCGCAGCTGCTCCAAGCACTGGCTACATCTCAGAAACTGCGGGTCGAAGCAACGCAAAATTATCGCTTCTTGAGAGGGAAATTATAGAGAAATTGCGAGGCGTCACGTATGCGATTTTACGGGCCACGTGGCTACACACAGGACCAATCAAGATAGAAATTGTTTGTTTTCGGTGCTTTTAATTTGTATCATGTTATCAGCATGCCATCCTTCGTGTGTGTAAGTCTGCCTCTGTGAAGTCCATGTCATAATCCGTGGGACATCCTACTTTGAGCATGAGAGATGAAGGGCATGGGAAGGACGGCCAGCGCCCGCTGGCCTATTTCCGTCGAAGCTGTTAGCGATTCACCTCATGGTGCCAAGCAGGAAAATTATGCAGACAATTCCCTCTAAGATAACGAAGGATTAAACCGCCACGAGGCGTCAAGCGGGTGATACAAGGCGGCATTTTTCAAAGAATAATGCGGCAAAATAGGAAAATCTAACAGTCACGCAAAAATCATACTAGAATGGCATGAATGAGGTCCAATTAGGATACATGGATGGGAGAAAATGGAGAAATAAGGACAACGGAAACTAAAAAAACACGGCTGTTGCGCCACCAAATATAGACAATAACAATATTGTCATTACTAATTTAAGACGAAAAGTACTATATTTTCGAAACAGTCGCCCGCCGAAGTGGGCGGTCACTTGGTCTATATACCTAACTGATGTGGGCGTGCCTGTCTGCCTGTCTTACCTGTTTCATTCTCGTCTTTCGCCCCTTGGTCCGTGTGCAGGTCAAACAGCGGCTCGCTCGAAGCTTTGACACGCGAATATTTGACAGTTTGGCTTTTGACATGGAAGTTTTGATGCCTGACCCATGGCAATACTTTACGGCGTACCTTGCTTAATACTTTGCTTATGCACACGGAATTCCTTTGACAAGCTGTAGGAGCGCGGTGCGGTCAGCGTACAGCGCGTGGCTCGTGTTGCAAACTGTGTTTCCAACCAATTGGTTTTACATTGGTGACCTAAACACGTGATCCGCGCCAAAGCGGGCGGACAGCTGTTCGGAACTGTGCCCACATTCCGGCAACCGCAGACCGGAGCGACGCCAAATCGGCACGTCTCGTTAAGGAAGTGCAAGGGGCATCGCGAATTACATCGTTTCATGTGTGGGATTACAGCTGCCACGTGGGGCACGCACGCGGGCAGCGCAGATAGACCTGCCCGTTCCCAAAAGGTTTTTTTTTCACGTCACGACACATGTCAGCAGTCAGGGCCAACGGAGGCCTGAATCCAGCTTCAAAACGTCGACCAACGTACCAGCTGCCAACTGTGTGGCCATCACGTATTGGCTGAATGTACGGCTGTGCAATGAATCGCCGGGACATTTGGGACTGTCGGCACACTGTCGTCGAAACTGTGCCCACGGCAGTGGCGAACTTTATATTACCGTGTGCACCAAGTTATTACCCGCATTTACCGCCCGATTATTCGTCGCCGACACTATTCCGTTCACACATCAACTAGAGCATCACCGTGTCATCATCATTTACATCACCGTATGCACCGAGTCATAACCTGCATTCTCCATCCGTTTATGAGTCATTTACACTATTCCGTGGAAACATTTACGAAGCCTGCCAAGGCAAAGCACGAAGGCCTTGAAGTTTGGTGCACACTCTTGTTACACGCAGTCTGCACATGTATTGTGAAGTTTATGTCTGTGTGTGCGTTTGTTCCTCTTTGTGTCTGCGTCTGCAAAAGGGCTCTCGGCGTTCTCAGCGTTCTGAGATAAGACACAGGCGGTAACCAGGCCACGAAACGTTTCGGGCACATAAGAAACAAGCAACTTTTTATGTCATCATAGAGTACGATTTATACGATCACGTGAGAGTTATGGAGGTAAACTACCAGGCGACAAAGTGCCAAATGAATTATTGAAAAGGGGCAGTAGCAACGTATTTCGTCTACAACTACCACTTCGCTAATTTTAAATTATCCCTTACAGTTAACCTTTCAGGTTGGGTCAGCCCCATTGCTATCCAGTTGTTCTGCCTCATCGTGTTTTAATACGTCGGTCGCATCTCCAACTGGTTACCTGGCCCAGCCAATAACAGCCAGCCGTGGTCAGCTGACCTAGCTCGGTCACTGACAGCTGTGGGCCGCTAACCTGAATGCTCCTCGTCCGGTCACCCATAGACGATAATTAAAGCCGGCCATTAATCACAAAGACGACCGTCTTTATATATATATATATATATATATATATATATATGCCCAAATATAAATGCATGTCTACATTGTTGTTCATACAAGTATAGATATTTACATATAGTTATGCATTCATATTGTCATGCAGTGAGTCTTAGTTGTCTGTGCGCGGTGGCCGGTGACCTCCAAACGCACCGCTCTGGATAACGCACTCGCTGTCAGTCATCACCAGTCAGCCCCACAGCTGCTGCGGCCAGGATAGTCAGCACTGATACTCAGTGACAGTCAGGCCGGTCTGTCGGGCGGCCGTCACGCCCCCGGGCATCCACCTCCGTCCCGCCGCCCGACCGGCCGGGGGCGTCCAGCCGCCGTGCCCTAAGTGGGGCGGCGGCGCCGACCAAGCCGGCGGCGCCGCCGCGCACGCCCAGCGACTGCAAACGCCGACCTAATGGGCGGGCGGCCGGCCGTCCAGCTCGGGCGCGGCTCTCGGCTGATTGTGAGCGATGTCCCCGCAGGATCTCCACGAGGGCGGCAGCCGGGCCGGTGCCGGCCAGGTGCCGGCCGGCCGCCGGGCCGCGTGACGTCATCACAGCGGCCGTGGGTGGGAAGGTCCGGCGACGCAGCCCCCCTCCCCACCCCACCCCTAAACTCGGACAAAACGGTTTAAGAGCTGCGCGCCCGGCATGTCGCAGACTCTGCGGCCACGGCGCTGTTGCGCCCACGGCTCTACGGGGCTGGTGGACGCAATGGCACCGACATCAGGCGAGAATTCAGCACCTGTCTGGTATCCTCAAATCACCCTATGCATCACATGTGTTCATAGACAATCACACATGATACCGCGCCGAAGAGCGGAGCCTGCAGGCGGCACATCCAAGGCATCCCGACCCAAACTCACCCGTCCTCGCCGGCCGACTTGCGTTTGGCGATGATGGCCGATATTTTCTGCCACTCGCGGTCCAGCTCGGCCTTCTCGTTCTTCTCCTTGGGGATGCGGCGCGTCTTGCGGCCGTCGGCCATCTTGACGCCGTACTGGAAGGCCGCCTTGGGTAGCGCCTCCTTCTGGTTCATGTAGTTGCTGTACTCCTCCTGCGTGTCGAAGTCCCAGCGCCCGATCGGGCCCTTCTTGTTGCCCTGCCGACGCCACCGACGCGTCAAGCGCCTCCGTTGCCGTGCGACAAACGCTTACTCCACACCGGCGCAACACAAGACGACTGCAATCCCGTGTGGATGTCGAGGCCGGTTCGGCCATTCCAACGTAAATACACCGGGACAGATTCTCACGCACGGTGTTTATACAAAACAGCTTCCTGTGAGGTTTTCCAATAGGCTTGTGTCATGCACAGTGCTTCGCAAAGGGGGCCAACATTTTTTAGTTAGCAAAGCACACTTAACTATACGTGTGTTATCCTCACGAAAGCTATTAAAAATAGAACGAGAACGTTGGACCATGCACAACGACAACGTTTGGAAGTATGGAGGCCGGTTTCAGGTGCTAAAGCCTCCACTGCTTCAACCTGGTGCCAGCGCGTGCCTTCATTAGAATGCTGCCCGCTATGCTAAGCAAACGAAGTTTCGCTGATTGCTCTCGCTCCGAGCACTTAGGATATCTCAGCTAGGCTCGTCTTGGTTGGCACATGAACACCAGACGCGCCCATCACGGCCGATCTTCCGTTGACGAGATGGTGTTCCGTGACCTTAAAGGCCTTGAACGCATCGTTCAACCTTTTGCTGGACAGTGCCGCGGTAAGCAGCGGTTGATGCCGCCCGAAGCTGGCTGAGCCTATCACACATGAGCGTTATCATCTGAACCAAAGCCCGTCGGAGCAAGATAAACATACCGCTGCAGACGCTGAACGATATTTAATGTCCCCCCCCCCCTTGGAGCAAGCGCGGAGGCGACGACCAGTTAGGACATGATGCCCCGGATCAAGGTGTAGTATCCGGGGTTTTCCTTCACTGTCGAGCCAACCATGCTGATACAGAACATGAAGCTGCTTGTTGACCTGAACCACATGCTAACATGGAGGACCACTCTAAGCTTTCATCCTACCTCACGACGCAGGTTACCGCCTACAGCATCTTTCATTGATAAACTAGGGGGCGGCAGTCAAATTGATCCAGTTGACCTAACCTGAATACCGTGAGGTTTCGTAGGGCTTCATTGAGTTACTTCAGCCACTGTAGCTTACAATCCGACCCACCTCACTTTTATACACACAGGCTCATATTGACAGGCACATGGAAACCCATTTCGGTGCATGAAAAATCTACCCTGAGACCCCACCATGTTTCTTGAAGGTAACACATTAAGTTCCTCCCCTGTGCAGTACTGGCAGCAGTGACACCACTTCTGCCCATATGACGCTCAAAATCACATTTAGTGTCGGGTAATATCGGACAATTTTCCCTGCAGCTAACACCAAGTTCACACCAAGGAGAATGAAGCGCTCGAAGTCAGCGGTTTTGGTGCAAGGCGATTGCATGTGAAAACGGTCAAAATATCAACTCGGTAGATATTTATGCATGTTGCTTTGCACACGCGACGAACGCCAGAACTGCTGTCTCCGCCTACTGGAACTAGCACTATCTTTTTGAAGCGCCCTTGAGTGTCCCGACAAACCTAGCACTGACCAAACATAAACCAAAACTTGATCACTTTCAGTCACACGACCATCCCACCACGAAAGCCACGCTGTCCCTATGCCGACTGACACAACACGACCGCCCACTGAGAAACAGAGGTGAGAGAACCCAGTCATCAGGGGACCATGTGCAGTCGATCTCAACCAGGGATAAGATCACTAAAGCTATTTCGAGCGCACAGAGAGACGAAGCCAGTATGACCGCGCCCACACAGGCCATGGAGACAACCAGCTGCGCACCAAACCCCACCTACTCTCGTTCATGGCCAATAAACAGGCTCAGACACACAGGCCTGCAACAAATCGCCGACAGATAGCCTGCATCTGAATAGCTGCTGCCCGGAAGTGAGAACATTCAAGGCATTTTCAAGCGCCTCCATTTCGACGCCGCCGTGGGGAGCGCGCGCGCCACGAGCACCGCGCCGGCCGGCGACCGACCCGCCCTGGCCAGACGAGCGGCCGCTGCTCACCATGTCCATCTTGGAGTAGTCGGCCTCGTCGTCCGAGTCGTCTATGGCGTCGGCCATCTCCTCCAGGCCCGGGTAGCACTCGGCGTAGCCGTTCAGCGCCGTGCCCATGTCCTTACTGCAGCATGGGGGGGGGGGGGGGGAGGGGCGTCAGGGCCCGGCCGCCCGGCCCCATCGGCCGGCGGTCCGCACCAGGCCGGGTCACGGCCCCCGGCGGGCGGGCGGCCACCCGGCCAGCGCCGTCTTGAAAGCTGGGCCCCATGACCCCGAGCGAGACGGCGGTGGCCACGTGCAATCACGGCAGAGTGCCGCACACCGGCTGGTAAGAGCATTGCGATCGCCGCGCGACACCTGATCGGAGCATTAGCTGATCGTACCGCACAGTTCGCAGCCACATTAGCTGCCTACTTGTCGCAGTCGACCGGTGCCATTATCCCCGTGCCTCCCAACATAAACAGCGCATGGCCTACGCGTTACAGCACGCTTCGCTGCGAACGACGACGCGCATTGGGAGACCTCGGTCGGCCCGCTGACCGTGCTGTGGCCATGTCCCAGCCGTAACGGGTCACAGACGGCCGTGACGCCGCTCGCCTGCTGTGACGGGCCGAGAGGAGTGTGACGCTCACCTGCGCTTGCTGGCAGCGGCGGCGGCGTCCACGCTCAGCCAGTTCGACTCGCGGCCCTTCTCCCGCTCGAACCTGTCGCAAGCCAAGGGGCCATTCACAGCCAGAAGGCATAACGCACGGCAATGGCACGACATGAACACGATACATTACGGTTTTGTCGAAGGATTGAAACGGGGCAGCAGTATCACGGACGGACGGAACAATTATTTGGACCAGCGTCCTTGTTTATTGTGTTAGCATGTACACAACATTTCGGTCATTCGACTCCACGGCCGTCGTCAGGCGTTATGGAGTCCTGAGAAGGACTGAATGATACGTGACTTTCAGCCATGTATGTGCCACAACCATGATCATTTTCCTGGAATGGCCGGGATTCGAACCACGGTCCTCTTGATTGCGATACCAGTGCTTTGCCAACAGCTCAATTTATATAGCACTGGGCTTACAATCAAGAAGACCCAGGTTAGAACTCCAGCAACTCCGAGGGGAGAATTCGGATTGTGACATATGCGTACGTGATAGCCAAGCATTATCCCGCTTTTTCAGAACTCACACCTGGCGACGGCCCGAGAATTAATTGGTACACACGTTGTGTACATACATCAGACGGGACGACAGTCTGAACAATTATTCCATTCGTGACAACAAATTACCTCGGGGAAGTTTGGGCTCAGAACGCAGATTCGCGCGTTTTAGAAGATCCTCACGCATATAATGGATTAAACCAAAGTGAAATTGGAGGAACGGGTCAAAATGGACGAGACTAAAGAAATGTGTCTTGGCACAATACCAACACCACAACGCTCAGAGTGTTACAATGATGCATACCCACGCAAAATACTCAACCCAAACTGAGAGCCCATCAGTTCAGCTTGACATTCACATTGTCATCTACCGCCAGGATGCATCCCAAGAAGGCCGGCACCCCAGGAGCCACTCCCTTACTCCGGTGCCATCGGCCTGAAGATGTCTCATCGTGCACCAGAGCGGTGACGCGGTGGAGCGCGACTGCAGCGGGGGGGGGGGGGGGGGCACGGAGGAACGAAAGGTGATGAGATCGTGCTCCGGGAAGCAACCGCAAGTCGCAAAGCACGTGGATACCATCAGCCACGTAAACAAACCGCGCCATGCGCCAGACCACGTGACCAGAAAACCCTATGTCCAACATCGCGCTCCGCGGTGGTTGATACAGTTTAAGAGCGGGACAGGCTGTACGGTCAAAACCGAGTCCAGAACTGCCACCGATCGGCCGAGCGTCCAAACACAACAAACAAATCTGGGGGGCACTTAATGGGCTCGAAGCCGAAATATTCCGCGCAAATGCAGTATAAAGGGTAACACAATGCATCACAGCCGGGAGATTTCTGACTGAGCCAAATCTCTTCGAGCCCCCACGTTAAGTCAGCGGTGCTCAGTCATGACCATTGCGGTGTTTAGGCTCCGAAAGTTCATTCCGTTAAAGCGGGCTCGCCTACATTCACACCCACGCCAATCGTGGCAAACTGCCACCAACTGATCCCCCATTTCTCGACACTCGACCGACCTCGGGCCCATGCCCGCGCTTTGTCGATCGGATGTAATTTAGGAGCAGAGATAGGCTGCGTGAACCCGCCTGCAATATTGATGCCCGCTGCGGAAGATGAGAGCCGTCCCAAAGCACTCATCTCTCACATTCTGGCCAGAACAGACAGCGGAGTGCCGCAGCCTGCGCTGCCACCAGCCATCATCACCGCGCACACAACACGGCCTCACACGGAAAGACAGACTGTGGCGAACCACTGCCGGTCAGGGATTCATCGCAGTGAAAACGAACTCGGCGCCAGAGACCTGCAGACCTGACAGCCGCGCATGCACGGGTCACCGACGGCATGGCTGAGGCACACTAGCTCCAGGCGTCACCAAGTCCGACCCCCGACGTCATCTAGGGCCCGCCTCATATGTGCTGCGCCAGTGTTCTGTATTCTGGCCACTTTAATATATTCATAATGGTTTGCATATGCAGTGATGCATAGCGTTACTAGTGTATTAGAAAAACACTACAAGCATTGTTTCTGGTGTTTTTCTGTGTTAAAGCACTAGAAACATTGTTACTACTGTTTTTCAGCTCCAGTGCCTCAGCCCTCGTCTGTCCGCGACTCACTGGCAGCGGGCCGTTGCCGTCATCAGCTCAACCCTGGTCGTCCCCAGCCTCCTGTTCACGCGTCCGGCGCAGTCAAGCGCCGCCTACCAGACGTCTGCCATCTGCCGGACGCAGCGGAGGCCGCGCGGGGGAGCGCCGGCCGCCAGCTGCCGCCCCGGCCGAGCCCAGCCCGCTCACCTCTCCTTGTCGCGCTTGTCCCGCTCGGCCTGCTCGCGGTCGCGCTCCTCCTGCTCCTTCTCCCGCTCCCTGTCGCGTTCCTTCTCCCGTCCCCTGCCGTGTGTCAGGGACGGTCAGGAGCGCACCGTGGACACACCACAGCTGTGCACCCATCACAGAATGCCCCAGCGCTGTGCACTCTGAGCCGTATATACCAGACTGACGTCAACCTCTGGGCACATTCCGTGCTGATATTTGGCACACTGCAAGCACTTTGTGCTTTTCCCAAACAATCGGGTTGAAAACAGATTTGAATGAACAAGGACAGTGTATCCCAGCCTCAGCATCCTTCGATGTGTGGTTATTCGCCTGCAGCAAAGAACAGTCAACACTCTCCAAGTAATTAATTCAGCGGCATCAGCATGTGGAAACAGCCTGCGCTACATTGTTTATTAGCTCGCGGCCGACGCTGGCCCAAGCCACCTTTTACTCGAAGAGTCCGGAAAGAACCGGGCCCTGGTGGCGGCTGTGCGGCGCCTCACCTCTCACGCTCGCGGTCGTGGCGCTTGTCCCGGTCGCGGCGGGTCTCCTCCTCCGGCCGGTCAAAGTAGGAGCGCGGCCGGCGCTCCCGCTCCCCCTCCTGTCGGCTGGAGAAGGAGGACGGTCAGCCGTGGGAGGAAACGATGCTCGATACTCACTGTCCCCTCCTGTCGGCTGAGGTAGGAGGGCGGCCACCCGAGGGAGGAACCGACATTCCATGCTCACTGTCCACTCTCTTGTCGGTTGGGGAAGGAGGGCGATCAGGTGAGTGGAAGCGACAGTCGACGCTCCCTGTCCCCCCCCCCCCCTCCTGTACGTTGGGGGAGGGATGAATGTCAGGGCTGGGGAGGGATAGCGATCAGGGCTGGGGGAGGGGATGGGGCCAAGCGGGCCACGGGCGCAACCTCGTCGCCCAAGCGCGCCGGTAAGCCCTCGTAACCGGACAAAGAATCAAAGACTCAGCAGTTACCAGTCGCCAACATAAGCCCTCAACGCAGAGCCTCAACATCTTATCCATAAATCAGTTGGGACCCAAAACACATGTGAGTAAAAAGAGCTCAAAGCTGATGGCCTCGACTTCAAGACATAAGGCCTCGTCGCCCCCCCCCCCCCCCCCCCTGCTGACCTCGCCGACAGTCCTGCCGAACTCACCTGAACTTGACACTGTCCCGCCCTCTGACCCCGCCGACTTGGTACCGCCCTGCCCTCTGACCCGCCGACAGTTCCGCCGGGCTCACCTGGACTTGTCGCCGTCCCGGGCGCGATCCTTGTTAGCCGGGACCGGGACGTACTCGCCGACCTCGCCGACAGTTCCGCCGGGCTCACCTGGATTTGTCGCCGTCCCGGGCGCGGTCCTTGTTGGCCGGGACCGGGACGTACTTGCCGACCTCGCCGACAGTTCCGCCGGGCTCACCTGGATTTGTCGCCGTCGCGGGCGCGGTCCTTGTTAGCCGGGCCCGGGACGTACTCGCCGACCTCGCCGACAGTTCCGCCGGGCTCACCTGGGCTTGTCGCCGTCGCGGGCGCGGTCCTTGTTAGCCGGGCCCGGGACGTACTCGCCGACCTCGCCGTAGATGTCCTCGCCGGCCATCTTCTTCTCCTCGGCGGCCCGCTGCTTGTCTTTCTTCTTGAGGCGGCGGCCGGTACGGCCTTGACGCAGGTACGACAGGATCTGCGTAAGCTTGTTGATGACGATGTCGTTGGTGGTCAGCGTTGTAGCTGTCTGAAGAGGACGAGAAGAGAGGCGTTAATGTGGTGGGGGCATTGCCGAAAGTCAAAAGCGACGCAACTACAGCAAGTGGTACTTGCTGTGTTGTTTAAGCATACTTAATGATCATTTACAACCCCACAGTGTTTAACGTGTCGCGCAGGACTGTTGGTACAAATTTTCGGTTTTGGGGGGTCGTCTTGCAAAGCTCTTAACGAGAGCGTGGGAAATTCGTAAATCCATGCTTGAACTGTTTCAAGACGGGCATTTCTACAAATACTTCAAGTGTACACTATGTCGAGTAACCAGGCTACGATATCGTCCCTCAGGGTTGTCAGGTACGACGTGAAATCACCAATGTCTTGGTTTACCACGGCCTTATCGCGTGGAGGAAAGGGGCTGTCTAGCGCGGCAATACTCATGAAAATAATGGGAAAATTAAAAAGATTCACACATTGCCTTGGAACTTTTTTACATCTTCCACAAATAGCTCAAGCAGCATGGCATTTGCTTTTCAAAATTCAGCGGCATGTACTCCACTACATTTGAATGTACTCATGCCGAAGCAAAATAAAAGTGCAATAACGGATGTGCTCTGTGTTATGGACCACAAAAAACATCCTCCGTGCGCCTTATCTGCAGAGTTCATTTCTTTTTTAGCATCTGCTCACCCGAGGAGAAAGCAATTTTAGAGCACCGCGGCAGTCCCGGGTACGTCGTGACTGACTGCGGTGAACAGGGCCGCGGTCAGCCGCCGCGGGGCGACGCAACCCTGCCCGTACCGGCACGGCGCCAGCCCATCTGCGGGCAGTCGGTCTTGCTGCGTCCCCTCCCCCCATCCCCCGATCGGGTGCAGACTACAGAGGGTGTCAGCTCACCTCCACCTGCGGACAGTCGGCTTTGCTGCGTCTCCATCCCTCTCCCCCCCCCCCCCCCCCCCCCTCCATAGGGCGCAGACTAGAGGGTGTCAGCTCACCTCCACCTGCGGACAGTCGGCCTTGCTGCGTCCCCCCTCCCCCCCCCCCCCCTCCTCGATAGGGTGTACACCACAGAGGGCGTCAGCTCACCTCCACCTGCGGACAGTCGGCCTTGCTGCGCACCACCGTGGTCGGGATGTCGAAGTCGACGTACTCCTCGTCCAGGTCGATCCGGTAGGCGGTGCGGCCCGGCAGGAACAGCTCGTTGCGCAGCGGCGGCTTGTCCCGAAACAGTACCCTGCGACCGGGCGGCGGCGATCGGAACGGGACCGGGCCCCAGCAGCGGGACAGGGACACGGTCGATCGCCAGCGACGAGCCAGACCCACCCAGGCACTCCCAGTGACGTCCCAACGTGCCGCCACGCACGACGTCCGGGCCTTCAACATCAGTCACGCCAAATGTGCTTGTGTTCTTAACAGCGCTGGATATTTTTGACAATGGTGCCATCACCAATATAGTTAGAAATGGCCAAGCAAACACCGCAAATGACAATCCCCACCAACGTATCGGCAGCCTTAAATACTGGTGCCGATTGAAGTTGATAAGCTCGAAAGAGAAAGAGGAACAGTGGCTGACCTGTGCACGTTCTTGCCCATCTTGGTCTTGAAGAGGATCTCCTCCTCTTTGGCCTCTTCCTTCTTCTTGTTGTCGACGCCGTCGGCCAGCTGCTCCATCTCGTCCTCGTGCTCCAGCTCCATGGCCTGGATCTCGGACCTCACCTGGCCGCAGACGCGGAACCTCAACCGCAGCCCTCTCTCCATCCGGCCGTCAGGTCTGCCACGTTGTTGTCCCAGCCGCGCGCCGCCCCGCACATCTCAATACGAACCTCACGACGCCCGACGATGGTGGTCTGCTCCCCACCGGCACTGCTAACGCCATCCCGACCACAGACCCAGCCAGAGGCATGGACCACAGACCCAGCCTGGTGCACGGACCACAGACCCAGCCTGGTCCTGGACCACCGGCCCAGCCTAGTCCTCGGACCACAGACCCAGCCTGGTCCCCGACGAGAGACCCAGCCTGGTCCTGGACCACCGACCCAGCCTGGTCCCGGACCACCGGCCCAGCCTAGTCCCCGGACCACAGACCCAGCCTGGTCCACGGACCACAGACACAGCCTGGTCCCTGGACCACCGACCCAGCCTGGTCCCCGGACCACAGGCCCAGCCTAGTCCCCGGACCACAGACCCAGCCTGGTCCACGGACCACAGACCCAGCCTAGTCCACGGACCACAGACTCGGCCCGGGCTCGGACCACAGACGCAGCCTGGTCCACGGACCGTACACAGCCTGGTCCCCGGACGAGAGACCCAGCCTGGTTCCCGGACCAGATAGGTGAGGCTTGCGACGGGCCGGGGCAGACGGCACAAGTCAGGCGTTTCAGGGCGGCACAGGTCAGGCGGTTCAGCACAGCACCGGTCATGCGGTTCGGAACGGCGCAGGTCAGGTCACGGGCTCGGCCGTCAGCCCCCTGTGGGCCTGGTGAGAGGTGACACACGTCACCAGCCACAGTCCCATCAGCCACGGCCGGATCGACACGGCCGGCGCCGGCACAGTCCTGTGGGCGGCGACTCCGTGTCACGCGGCTTACGCGCGGAAATGCCCAGTAGGCGGCTCGCCCAAACTGACTGTGGCATACATAGTACGCTCGATCTCGGGCAGCAGCTCAATACGAAGGGCCGGCGCTGGACTGTAGCGCGACAGACCCAGAGCCGACCCAGAGCCGCCCTGGAGCCGAGCCCGCTGGAGGGGCCGGGCCACCCAGCCACCCATCAGTCCGGCTGAGCCCAATACAGCTAGATCTAGCTTAACGCAGTCCACCTGAGGTAGTCAGGGCGGACGCCGACGGTCCGCTGGCCGTCCAGCGCGGTGGGCAGGAGCGGTGCACACCTTTTGTAGCAGAGCGTAGTCGAGACCCTTCACCAAGTGAGTGTGCTCCATGTCACCACCGAGGAACTTGGACTCCTGGATTTGCTGACGTCGACGCTCGGCCGCGTCCAGGCCCCTGCCGACGGGTCACCGTCACTCAGCTGAATGTCACAGTCCAGTCAGCAGACAACACTGCTACAGGGCGACTGTACTGGCTGGACCAGCTAACTCGAGTACAGGGCGGAGACTGACACCAATGGTAAGTGCAGGCGCGACAGGTGCCGACACCACAAGCCCTGAATCCCATTGACATCTCGATAAGTTATTCATTTTTGCAACAAGCAATAGCCGAGAAAAAAAACTGCCCTGGCGGTCAGCTGCCTGAACAGAAAGAAAACGGCAACAACAACGGACCAACAAAGTTGCTGCCAACTGTGTATGCTGCGAGAGAAAAAAGCTATCCCACGACTCACAGCTCGAGTCGCTCACAACCTGCCGCCTAACACTGCAGGCAGGACACGACACCGACATGCCCGGCGGGCAGCGCCAGGGACGCGCCCACTCACGACTTGAGGTCGGGCGCGACGGCACGGTAGGCGCTGGCCGTGGCCATGGCGTCCTCGGTCTGGTGCGGGAAGTCCGGCACGCCCGCGCCCTCGTCGCCGTCGCGACGCTCCTTGGCGCGGTCGCGGTACTTCTTGGCCAGCTCCGCCATAATGTCGTCCTCGGCGCGCTTCAGCTTGGCGTAGTAGCTGGGGGGAGGTGGGCCGGTGATCGGACGGGCAAGCCCAGGGGCCGCTCGCGGGCTGAGTGCCAGCTGACTGCAGTGGCAGCGCTTCGTATCACGTGACGCAAGTGGAAAATGGAAGGTGCTGAATGACAACGAGGTCTGTGGTCGGGAAAACAAGCCATCTTTTTGGTGCGGATGGAGCATAATTAATTAACCGGTTATCAGCCTCATCAAACCGTCATCACCTGCATACACCTAGAAACGATTGTCGCCTACGCCCTATGCCATCGCGAACATATCCTCCAGATTTGATACACAGACGCACACTTAAGAAATGCGGCCCCATCTCTGATATACCCCAAGACGCTCTACCAGCCCATACCAACAGCCGGCATATCACCGGTCGTCATGCGCCAACCGCGTCCATACAGGCCTACGCCAGCCGCCCCGGCCACTGGCACACTCACCTCTTCTTCTTGCGTCGCTCTTCGGCCTTGTCGATCTTGCCCGAGGTGTCGGGCCGGGCGGCGGCCGGCGTGGCGGCGGGCGGTGCCGTCGCCGGCCCGGCCCGCGGCGTCATCAGCAGCTTGCGGAAGTCGGCATTGGTGAGCCGGGCCGGCCTGCCGACAGACGTTGCGTCACGGCAGGGCGCCACATCGCGCGCGGCACCGACGCACCCTCGCAGGTCGCAAACATCAGATAGAGGCCGGACGCGACCACACCAGATACAGACAGGATAGGCAGGAGGCGGGTGAGCAGGCATGGCTGCACCAGCAGGACGTGCCATCACGTTTCCGACACATGGCATGCTTTCTTGGCATTGTCATGCTGGGACTCAGAAGCTTACATATAAGATTTAGGTTAATAAGACTTCAGCTGAATCTTGGGACACATGTGTTGCATGTTATCAGCTCTCATGTTTCTAAAGGAACACAATCTATGTGTCCACAGTCACCTGAATTTAAAAAATCAGGTACAAGATAGTTATAACAATTGAAGCACATGAAAAAGTGCAGTGCACAAATCCAACTTTACCACAACATGATCCAAGCAATGAAAAAAATTGCCAGAGCTAACAAAAGACTTCGTTCTACCAAGTGTCAGTGTACTTAGCATGAATAAGAAAAAAGGCAATGTATCCCCAGCTCTCACGTAGATTCGACGTTATGTTGTGCGGCACCCGGCGGTGCTGCCGGGTTCGCAAATGGCTCCTCCTCTGTGGAAACAAAGGGACTGGTCACAGAAACACTCTGGCTCAATGTGCTATGATCTAAAGCTGTTCTAATGGACAGAAACACTCTGGCTCAATGTGCTATGATCTAAAGCTGTTCTAATGGACCTAAAAACTAACTCAAATCGATCAGAGCAATGCACTACAAATGTCTGCATACTAAAAACTCTTTGGCAGGCCAAACTTATGCGTGGAATGCTGTTCTTTGAGCAGCAAGGGGAAAAATACCACAACCAGCTGATCAATGACCTGGATGAAATGAAGCACTCCTAATATGAGCAAACAAAAATTATTTAGTGATCAGGGAGAGTGCAAATGACTGAGGCATTTGCCAATGCTGGGCTCAAAATTATGGGTTCAGGCCTGTCAGACTAACAAGATTTGTAATGGCAGTCCATGTGTGAGACCTCACATGATTGCCACAGCCTTCTATATCTTGATTTAATAAAATATCAATGTTAATATGGAAAATATAGTCTATTGATCCCAGAAGAAATTACTTACTTTCAGGCATGACAGTTTATAAGGGTATACAGTCCAATTAAACTATGGCAGACTGCAGGTGCTGTCAAACCTGGAAGAGAGATAACACAATGAGACATACAATGCACAACATCTCAAAATGCATCCAGTAGGGTATGCAGCATATAAATATGGATTCATCTACAGGAATCATGGCTCTCTGGCAGCCCCCAAACTCAATTTGTTGGCACCAATCCATTGCCCTTTGATGCCAGTCCAGACATCTGACCTGCCCAGCCCATTTGTTAAGCCTAAGGTGCTTACATACAGGGTTTCCAGCTGCCCAGCTTGATGCTGATTGGCTGATTTTAGGCAAGGGGATGGACAACAGGCAGTGAGCCTCACCCCACATGTATAGCACAACAAAATATTGACATGCCTGCCACCCAACTGGCCAAAAATTGGAACACTGACAAGGCACAGTGAGTATTAAGCATGACACTTCCATGCACCCTTGAAACATTGCCAATACTAGGACAACCAAATCTGGGGAATCTGGGTATCATTGCCCCACTATTGTGGACCTCTGTGGGAAGCAAAATTGAAATGACTTAAGGTTTAATGCACTAGAGCCATCAAAAATTTGTGCATCAGTGGAAATAAAATCACTGGTTGTGACACAAAAATACAGGAAAGGGAAATGAAATACACCTATGTAATTTAGTGCATGGCTGTATCCTATGGCCCATATTACCCAAAATGGAAGCTGATTGCATTGCACTGGAGAATTACTGAAAGAAGTAACTGATGACCATGGACCTCAGCTACAGCACCATGATCAGATTCCATTTAGTGACATATTATAAGCTGCAAGATGAAACATAGCGCGCTCAAGGTGAATTCACATTCTGACGTCAACCATTTGCGATGAGCAGACAGCAAGCTTTGCCATAGCTAACCGTGCACACACACCCACACACGCTAGTTAAGGCGTTAGCACTAAAAGCACTTCACGATAAAATTTTCGACAATGATGAACGTCATTATTAAATATAGAATCTCAGCCCACATTCACCATCCCCACGTACCCCCTCACTGAACCCTCACAGCACACAACACAGACCTCGCATCAACAGCGCCCTATGTGCGCAATAATTGACATAAGATTCATGTTAAAGTACAGCTACTTTGCTTTGCAGCGCATCAATCATAAGGTATTCCGTGCTACAAGACTGCGACGAAACAAAGCCATGTAATTGATCATTAAAGACATGTATCCGTTCCAAAATTAGTTACTTTCTGACACTTAAGCGTTAGTTGACACGCTCGCTGCGTTATATTTCTACACTTTGTTTCCAAAAATCTTACCGCGTTTTAGTTTTCCGGCTCTACTTGCGCCTACAAGACATTACTTAGCTAATCAAACAATCGCTCTGGCAAAGAAAGTTAACACGAAATATGTCTTTTCCAAGTAGGTACTAAAACAATTTTGCATTTACTTTTCCATCAGACTGCGACAATTGATTGCTGTGCTTATGTTCTGAAAATATATATTTCGAAAACTGTGGAGCTTCGTCGCAAATGACCGAGGGGCGTCTGAATCGTCGGCAGGCGTTGTTTACATCACACAACACGCGTGTGCAGCTTCGCCGGGTCTTGGATCGTTTGTTGCGTTCTCAAGCACATGAACTTGAACACTAGATTGAAATATTCTTTTTGGAGCTGATGAAGAATTGCACTTGAAAGATTTTGTTTTTCCTCCGTTTCCTTCCATACAACGCCATAGTGCGATGCGAAGTAGACATTCACGTAGTGCACTGGTACGCCCCCTCCCCCCGTTATTGGAAACATTGCGTACATTCATGTTTTTGTGAAGACATGTTTAAAACTGAAATTCGACCTAGACACGTAAAATCGAATAAATCGAGAACATGCATTGGCTTATGCCATACACGGAATCTAATTAAGAGGAATTAACTAGGTTTTCAACAAAAATGCGGCGTCTTATCTTCTAAATTCCTGTATGTGCCCTTGATGTCAAATTTTTCCAAAGTAGCATGTGTGTAAGAGGGGAGGGACGGGAGAAGATTCCGCGCTGTCAAGCCTCTACCGTTCATAATGGTGGTCTTTCGTCAATTTGTGCAGTGCAGTGGTTCGGAGTTTGGAATGTTTTATCCAGCACAGGGACAAACGCGATCTACAACTCGACCCAAATATACTATTGTTGGTTACCTTTGCGAACCGGGCAGCATTTCAACCGGTTAGACAACATTTGCATGCCATGTAATGAAGCCTGCGTTCCCTCGGCGCGGCGTTGATGCGGGGTGGGGCGCGGAAATTTTGACGCACGGGGGTTGCTAATAAGTTACGTTACGCATTTTTTGCCATTTTCAGCCCTCCAGTTGCGCACCGGTTATGCCGGATGAACGTTCCCATGGCAAAGCCTGTCACAAAAATATGAATAGATCTGACGTCTCTGAAAGGTAACGCCCGTTTGGGCCCACAGCGTAAATTTACGCTGTTTAAACGCTGCCCACTTCACATTGTGATGCTTCGTTTAAGCTCCATCAAACTCCCTGCCCGCCCCATGCACAACGTAATATATGGATGGCCGCTGCCAGGTTTTCATACCTGATACGAGGTTGTGTCCTAGCGTGGGAGTCCACGGTCCTAATGATGATAGATTAATAAAGTTGCCTGCGGGACGAAGCTTTTTGGGTCATGCCCCCGGAGATGGTTGGGCGTGGATTTTGACGGTTTATGACATCCGTGGGGTTTTGAAACTTGCAAATGGGTCCTGGAAACATGTAAATGAGATACCGAGAAAACGATGGAAGAGACCCAACATCTACTCGACGAAAAGATGGATTCCAAAACTAATTTCTAAACTGCTGCTACTAAAGGATGAAATAGTGAGACTCTCCTCCATCTGACGTTTCAGCTTGCATTTCTGGCACGCGATGTTGACGAGTCTGTCTCTTTCAGTCGAGCTTGGCGTGAACAAACCGGTCGGGATGACACCGGCTCCAGACTCCGGGCCAGGAGAATGTGACTGATAACTTCATCAAAGAAAACAGGGTGGCGGTGTTCAGCAAATCATATTGTCCATTTTGTGAACAGGTAGGCAGCCCTCACACTTATCATATCTCATTCCTTGACCTCGCCACAACTACAAGCGTCTTTTTTCGCACTGTGTGGTACCAGACCGCCGGATTCTTTCCTGCCATTCCTGTAAGGCCCACGCGATGCCCACAGCTGGACTGTGTGTTCCGACAGGCACCTGACCTTTACGGCGAATTGGTCAAGGGATCTTGAGCTGCCTCGGTGACATGATCTGACGGTTGGCTTGTGGTCGTGTCATGACTTGGTAGTGCACAGTCGGCCACGGTAACTTCGATGGCGCCTAGGGTGTCTCTCAGCCCGTGACCTGTTCTGAGCTTTTGACGGCATGGAGTTTTTATATTTGAATTACATTTTAAGGCCACTGGAAATTTAGTTTTTGTCTTCTTTCGCAGGTGAAGGAATTGTTCAGAAACCATAATATACCATACGAAGCACTCGAGCTAGACGTTGTCGGTAAGTGGAGCACGTTACCAAGAGTTGTCTATTAGAAATAGAACCGCTTGAACTGGCACAAATGCTTCTTGAACGGAGCCCATAAACTGAACAATATCTGCAGCAATATGTGGGACATCTACGACGATAAGTTTCAAAAATGTTTTGTCACGCTTGTTAAAAGCTCACGGCGAGACGTGTACTCCCTCAAAATACGCGAACTCGAGAAGTCGACGTTTGATCAAGAGATGAGAGCAAAATGTAGGATATAGTTATTTGGTCGCTCATGGATCGTTATGACCGTCGCAATAGATTAGCACGAAAGCCTGTCTGCCTTAGATCATCTCGACCAGCTTCTCAAGTCCTAATGTCACACTTCACCTCGAAGAGACGTCGACATGTCTACGTTTGCCCTCAACAGTGTGGCGCTGTGAATGACATTGATCCGGATTCTCGACATTTCAAGGCTATGCTGATGCTTAGACAGAGCATAACATCGTGGTTTACCGGTCAGCGGTCCCTTGATGTGATTTGTAAACCATCGTAACGAGTAAATATGAAAGCCTGGAGGAGGGGGGGGGGGGGGGCATGCCACCTCCTGGCTGTGTCACTGTCGGTAGCAGAAGGTGATCATAATCTTTTAGTCACGAAATGTCGCGTGTCCCGGTCATTGCGCTGCATAATGCACTACCGTTGTACGCGTGCGTTCTGCTCCTGCTGCGTGCGCACAACACACGAAACGGCCGCTCATGGCCGATACCCTTTGGGGGAGTTGATCCCCCCGGGCCCTTGCGTCGTGGTCGGGACGTGAGTTTTCTTGCGTTGCGCACTGTCCCGTTTGCTTGGCAGCTGACTCCATCCCCACGAATAAGTGCGTTGATAATTTGATTTGCACCACTATGACGAAATTTTGATATTAAATGGCTCATAAAAACAACAAAGAACAACCGAAATGTTGCGGTTTTGCTCGTTTCGGTTCGGCTCACGACTTGGTAATGTGGTCTTGTCTCTGCCTTGGTTACGGGAACCACGGATCCATTTGGGTGCGGAACTAGGGAGCAAAACTGTTGTTACTAAGTCCATTTAGAAGATTCTGGTAGAGCGCTCGGAGGGAACCTGGCCATCATAAATAGGAGGCCGCACAGACCCATAGCACTGCAAGGTGTCACTGCCGACAGAGAATGGTGCTGCCATCCAGAGTGTGCTGCTGGAGCGGACGGGCCAGAAGTCGGTCCCCAGCGTGTTCATCAACGGCCGACATCTGGGCGGCTGCGACACAACAATCCAGGTGAGGACGGGCAGGGTCGTCTCTGGCCTTGACCGGCAGTGTCAGGTATGCTGACAGCTAAATCCCTACGCAAGTTGCAGCTGATGCCTGCTGGTGCTGGTGTTTGACGGTGTTGCAGCTGGTGTTTGATGGAACTTCGGTGCCATCTGGTACAGTCAGTGAAAATATGACACAGTGCGGTATTCGTGCCAGAGTCATACGCGGCAGGCATGCACGTGTGGTATTTCACGGAGCTTCTGTCTTGAACTGGTACTCGAGCTGGTTTCATTGGGGACTGAGGTCACGCTGGCAGCTCGCGGAGCGGCTCTAGTGTGGGGCAGACTGCGCCGCATTACACCGCTGCCCGGCGGGTGGGGCGTTACTGGAACGCCGGCGCCTAGCCTGTCACCGTTTGAGAACGGCGGGAGGGGATTGAAAATCCGCTATGTTTTGACTTGATTACATTGAATCTGAAGCTTAAAATGTAACAACGGCCGCGATGACTTTTTCAAAAGTCCTGTCAGAATCGATCAGCACGAGAACGGCCTGGGGACTGAGTGAATTGACCAGGGTCACTGCTACACCGGTCCCGGTAGTGTGCGAAGTGTGGGGCCGGCCAACGCTAACCTTTATTCCGGTAAGTCGAACGCTTGCATGACGCTTTTCGGTGATCACCGTCCGTTTGATTCTTGTCGGCCGTCTCTAAAGAAGTTCAGGCAGGTCTATTGTAGCCTACCTGACGCAAAACAATTAGCCACAGCTTCAACCCCCCCCCCCCCCTAAACACACACAAATAAATAAATTTATAAATAAACGGCAAGACAAAGGGTCTCCAGTTGACAGCATATCTGCTTTGTAGACTCGCGTCATGCACTTGGTGGGCCCGACAGACGGCAGACCCAGCACGGCTCACTCGCACCGTGGACCATCCGTACGCTCCGAGCGCAGTGTGACCGCTCGCTGTGATGTCACCACCTCACCAGCCGCGGCTGGCACGTTTCGGCGAGACAAGCCCGCCTGACAGACGCAGGCTAATTTCGACAGACTAGGAGCAAACTAAAAACGCTCCGCTGCGAGCCCATCCAACCCAGCCTAAGCGGTGTCGTGGCACCGCTGTGTGTCCGATCAGTGTGCTGACTGCACGGCGTGTGCGCCTGGCAGGCGCAGGCGGACGGCCGGCTGCAGGCGTTGCTGAACGCCGGCGCCGGCGACGCCCAGTACGACTACGACCTGGTGGTGATCGGCGGCGGCTCGGGCGGACTGGCCTGCAGCAAGGAGGCGGCCCGGCTGG